GAAATGCCGTATATGTTTAAATGAGAACAAATACAATATACAATATGACATAAGAAATGTTCTCTCTTGCAATACTAAAATCGTAATCTATATATTGGAATGTCCTTGTGATCTCCAATACATTGGGATGACCATGTCTAAAATGTCTAAAATTATGAATTACACACTGCAGAAATATTTTAAAAGGTTTTATGAATCATATAGTGTGTAAACATTGTTTAATCCATAACAAAGACCCAAAAGTTTTAAAATATTATGCCATAGATAAATGTGTTAATCCATTGAAGGATGCTATAAAACTAAGGTTTTAAGTAAAGATTTCAGGTAAGAAAGAAGTGGGTATTTCACCTGACAATTCTAGCCCCACTAGGATTAAATGCTAATTGTATCCTTTTAACTTCATTTTAAAAATATTTAAAAGTTCATGTTTGCATGTTTTCTCCTGTATTACTTTATTTATTTTCTCTATTTGAAAGTCTTATTTTTGGGTAACTCCCCCCCTTTTAATTTCTTTTCCCAATGTATACTCAAAATTGCTATGAACATCGGATAGTGCACTTAACATGAATCGGATCTTAATACCTTATATACAAATGGGGCCTGTGCTCCCGTAACACGGTTTTTGTCTGGATTGACTTTTTCTGTTCTTCATCTTCTATAACCAATAAAACTGATTAACAAAAAAAAAAAAAAAACTAATTTCATTGTTAGCCAGTCCACAATTTTTTTTCCCCTACATCCATCTGTAAAGATAATATATATCTATCTATCTATCTATAGAGATATATATATATATATATATATATATATATATATTAGCAATGGGCCTATTCTATGGACATGGGCATGGAGCTGTAGCTGGAAAAAGGAGACTAGGGGGAATACAGGCAGAGAGACACAAGGTGGTAATATGTAGCGAGAGAATGAGGCCCTATGCTTGAACAGGCCACAGACTCAATTAAGCCTTTTTTACTTCAAGATGGCATCCCTGAACACACTAACTCTAGCACTAAAGCAGAATCTTGCTCTAGTCCTATAATTAACCCAAGCTTTCCTCTCCCCCCGCTCCGCCCCAGTAGTCGACAAGTACCATAAGCACCGCACCGGACACCATAAGCACTGTAACCCCTCTAGGCTGCTGCAGCTTGGCTGGTTTCTCGCTGTCCCTTCCCATCCTGGACCGGCACCTGGATCCAGCTTAGTGGGAAGACCTCTCCTCCAAGAGAGTATAGAAGGTATAGCAGTGAGTATAGCTGTTCCCCCCACACATGAGACAAGGCTTAATACTGGGAGTAGTCTATTTATTCCAGCCAGATGGCTCACTTATATACAAAATCTGAGCACAGTGACACGCCCAAAGCACACCCATAAGCACCCATAAACACACCCACAACATGCCCAAAAAATACAGTGTCACTGTGACTCAGCATAAAACATAAAATATGAAAAACACATAAAAAATACATATTTCCTACCCTGGATAGCCTGGATCTGAGTGCCCAGGTTGTCCAAATAGCGCACAGATCCATGAAGTGTAGGGGAAACGCCACTGTGTGGATGTTCTGACCAGCCGCACACATGGTCCTATGCCCAAAACAGTTTAATGCGAAAGAAATATTGAACGCACACTCTAGCTTTTATATGTAGAGTTTGTTTGTATGGTTCATACAAACAAACTTACCGAATGGCGCTCTCCTGACATGGATGGGGAAGAAGCAGGCGTTCGTCAAAGTTCAACGGTGTTCGGGAGTAAACCTGTCTGATTTTAGTTCCATGCAATCGACGCCCAAACATTCTCGCAAACAAGATGGCCGCCAATACAGTTCCCACGTGTTCATGCATACGAACGTCGCCCACCCAGTCGCACAATTAGAACCCACACTGATTGAAGTGTCAGGAGAGGCTAACAAGGGTCAATAAGCTCAGAGGTGGTCTGCAGTTCGTGGGTTGGTTCGGTTCCCGAACAGTCCAAGGGAATCCCAAAAGCCTTTCAGCATGGCCCATAGTCCTGAGGCAGGAGGCTGGCAAGCATGGTCCTCTAGGAGCCTGTGGCAAGGTCATGTTCGCCACGTGAATATATATATATATATATATATATATATATAAATATATACATATATATCTATATCATAATGGCGAAGTATGTACCGTATTTTTCGCTCCATAAGACGCACCTCACCATAAGACGCACCTAGTTTTTAGAGGAGGAAACACAGAAAAAAAAAATATTCTGAACAAACTGTTCCATAGTGTTTCTTACTATGGGACAGTTTGTTCAGAATATTTTTTTTCTCCCCTGTCCCATAATGATCTTTAACCCCCCTTTCCTCTGTCCCATAGTGATTGTTAACCCCTCCTCCCTGTCCCATAGTGTTCTTTAACCCCTCCTACCCTTGTCCATTAGTGTTCTGATCCCATAGTGTCCCCCCCTCCCATTGTTCCATAGTGCACTTTCCCTCCCATAGTGTCCCCCTCCCCTTCTCCCATAGTGTCTCCCCCTCCCCTTCTCCCATAGTGTCTCCCCCTCCCCTTCTCCCATAGTGTCTCCCCCTCCCTTTCTCCCATAGTGTCCTCCTCCCCTTCTCCCATAGTGTCCTCCTCCCCTTCTCCCATAGTGTCTCCCCCTCCCCTTCTCCCATAGTGTCTCCCCCTCCCTTTCTCCCATAGTGTCTCCCCCTCCCTTTCTCCCATAGTGTCTCCCCCTCCCTTTCTCCCATAGTGTCCCCCTCCCCTTCTCCCATAGTGTCCCCCTCCCCTTCTCCCCTCCTCCTCCCTTTCTCCCATAGTGTCTCCCCCTCCCTTTCTCCCATAGTGTCCTCCTCCCTTTTCTCCCTTGTCTCCCCCTCCCTTTCTCCCATGTGTCTCCCTCCCCTTTTCTCCCATGTGTCCCCCTCTCCCATGGTGTCCCCTCCTTCTCCCATGGTGTCCTCCTCCCCTTCTCCCATGGTGTCCTCCTCCCTTCTCCCATGGTGTCTCCCCCTCCCTTTCTCCCATAGTGTCCCCTCCCCCTTGTCCCCTAACCCATAGTGTCCCCTCCCCTCGTCCCATAGTGTGTCCCCCTCCCCTGTCCCATAATTACTTACCTGTCTTGGAGCGTGGGCCGGCTTCACAGCGCGCTCCGCCGTCCAGGAACTTCTATTTCAGGTTCCGGTTTCCGGCGGGACTGAAAGGAAGTGTGCACACTGAGTGTGCACTTCCTTTCAGTCCCGCCGGAAACCGGAACCTGAAATAGAAGTTCCTGGACCGCGGAGCGCGCTGTGAAGCCGGCCCACGCTCCAAGACAGGTAAGTAAATCTTCACATTCGCTACATAAGATGCACAGACATTTCCCCTCACTTTTGAGGGGGAAAAAAGTGCGTCTTATGGAGCGAAAAATACGGTATTAGGGGAAACTAAAGCTATCTCTGGATTCTGCAGATATTCATAAACCGCTTAGTCTGGCTCCAGAAACCCCCACTGGGGGTTAACCATTAGGTTTAATTTTGTCTGTCTCATCATATTGAATTTTGTGGCAAACAGCTTAGAGTGACAGAGAGTAAGAATGTTTTGCTGAATGTAGAAAGGGTTACAAAATTTGAAAAGCACCATAATATGCTAAAGGAGGGAGTGAAGAGTAGGAGCAAAGAATAGTTTAATACATGACTTTTATGGCAGATAGTGTAAAGCAAAACTGAAACCTAAAGTCAAGAAGACAAAGGATAGAGCTGTAAGATTATTTATGGAATAAATACCAGAAAAACACACATACATAGTTACATAGTTACATAGTTTAAAAGAGTCCATCAAGTTCAGCCTTCCTCACATATGTTTTTGCTGTTGATCCCAAAGAAGGCAAATCACCCAGTCTGAAGCGCTTCCAATTTTGCAACAAACTAGGAAAAAATTCCTTCTTGACCCCAAAATAGCAGTCAGATGTCTCCTTGGATCAAGCAGCTATTATCCTACTAATTAGAAATTATATCCCTGTATGTTATGTTTTTGCAAGTATTTATCCAATTGCCGTTTAAACAACTGTATGGACTCTGATAAAACCACCTCTTCAGGCAATGATGATTATAAACTTATTGTAGCCTCTGGATTACTGAAAAATGCAGATTTTCCTGGGTAATAAAAGTAAAAATAGACATGTTTCAACGTCCAGATATATTTTTTATTTTAACTTCTGCCAGTACTTTATGTTATACCATTTTATACAAACTAGGCTTAACCCCTTAAGGACCAAACTTCTGGAATAAAAGGGAATCATGACATGTCACACATGTCATGTGTCCTTAAGGGCTTAAAGTGAAATTGTCACATGTCTAGAATTTACACTAGTGAATGAAATCACCCATAGCTGCATCATTTTATTCTAAATTCATATTTAAGATTTAGCATATTGCATAATAGTCCTGTTCAGATAAGACACAACTAAAGCAAACATTACAGATGAACGGGAGAAATAGAAACCTTGTATGATTTCCCCAATTCTCTGTATGCTTTCTCTATGGTGATTGTCGAATGAAAAGTGATGCAGGGATAAAGAAAAATGGCAGAAATCAATCATGTGAAGCTACAGCTCCACTTTAAATTTATGTTTTTTGAATCTCTATTAGTTTTGTGGAAAGACTTTCCTTCAAGCAAGTGTCCACATGGGCTCTTGACAACTCTACATTTTCGTTATTCCTAACTCTTCAAAAGATCAGTCAGCACCATAAAGTAACGCGCCCATTGCCACTTTGTTGCATCCATTAGGTCAGACTACACATAAACAAGATATAGTAATGTAAATCATTTTGTTTGTTTTTTTCCGATTCTGAGTGTGTGTGCGTGCGTGCGTGCGTTCGTGATTTCGTTTGTTCGTGCGTGTGTGCAGATATATAATAAATAAATAATACATATGGCAAAAGAACTTTGTAATACATTTTCTGTAAATTTATCAAGTTCTGAATAGTACATTATTAACAAAAATCAAATTCAATATATTTTATTCTTTGTAAAGAAATTGAATATGAATACAACTTTAATTCACAAATTAGTTGACACTTTGTACAAGAAAAGATTTACGTATCTAAGATAGTCGAAGTGCTGATTTTTCTTAGTGCTAGAACCTAAAACACACCAAATCGTAGGATGTAAAGTAGCTACTTTGAGCTGTAACTAAATGTCCCATCTTCCTAAATTGTTGTGGGTTGAGTAAGTGTTTGTTACTCTGCGATCATTTTACAGAACCAGAGATATTGATTCATAAAGTCATTGACATAGGAAGTAAAATCATTACTAGTTTGGCTGGTTGAATTGTGCTATCTTTTATGCTAAACAGGAGGGTTCAAGTTGAAGTTTTTTCCGCGCTCCATGTTTTGGCTTCATTTTCGCAAGTCTGTAGTTATCATACCACAGTCTTCTGTTTAGTGAATAATCTCCATACATTTCTCTCTGTTTTATGACCAAATATTTGCATGCAGTTGCCTTTGGTTAGTGTATTCAGACAATTCATTTAGTTCTCCACTTTGTTTTCAGGTATTTAATTTTTTTAAGGCTCTTCAGACTTCTGATCAAAAGTGAAAATTAAATGTCCAAATTTTCTTTCTTTTTTCACGTAAATAAATGTATATTGTCTCAATATATATATATATATATATATATATATATATATATATACACATTTTAAGGATAAGCATTTGACCCCTTTGATAATTCCAGTAAAACATGATCTTTTTTTTTTCTCGTTCTGATAAATCTGAATATAAATGTCTGCTTCATGAGGACTTTTTGATATTTCTACCAGAACATTATCATGGAGACGCTGAACGCTTCCCATAGAGATGCATTGATTCAATGCATCTCTATGAGGCGATCCTGATTGACACGTGCACAATAGCCCCCAATGCTTTCCTACAGGAAAGCATTTGATTGGCTGAGATCATCAAGATCATCAGGCCATAGAGGCGGGACCAGGCAAAGCCAGCCGCGGTGAGAGCGGCACAACGTGGGAAAAAAAGGTGAGTAATCTCACCTTCTTGCCGCAGAGCAATGGGGGCTGGGGTCCTAAACAGCCACACCAGCACTATAGTGTCAGGAATAGATTTCTGACACTATAGTGATCCTTTATGTGATTTTTTTATATTTATGTACACCATGTGACATCTTTTAACAGCACTCGTGAAAATAGAAGCAGATAGCACATTTAATTTACACTTCAATTTTGAGATGAAATGTCTTTTGAAACCAAGTTCTTTTGTGCTCTAGAATGTAACTGGATAGCATATTCATCAATATGATGTTTTTTTAACAAGAGATTATTGTCCAGAATCTTGGTCTCTTTTATTTATTTTTTTGCTGACTTGTCTCCCTCTGAACAGTCATTTCCAATGGGACAATACCCATGGGTTAGATGTCACTGGATTTATACATGTCAGACAGAAGCCGTGTGATGGGAACATTTCCAATAGTTTTTTTGAAAAATACTTCTTCTATGGTGGATGGGCTTATGGAACGTAAAGCTGGCAGAAGCAATAAAAGTTTTCCAAAACGGCAGGGCTGTGTAGGGTATCTGTTAAGTATAAAAAGAAAAGATCACAATAATTTAAATCCTAAAATATAATATATAAGCAACATCGTATACAGGTTATTTCAAATCACATTGTTTTTATTCACATTACAGAGGAATAATTTGAAGCACTTGTACAACTTGAATGTGCCTTGACTACATATACTACTCAGTGTGTACTGCAATGTGTTTTCTTTTTTTCATTCTTCATGTAGCCATGATTGTGCACACATTCATAATGTTGTTTACACAGTGCATTATGGATTAAAGACCGCAAAGGTAAAATAACGACAGTAAAGTCACAGTCCTAGTACAATAGGACCAAAAGGTAAGAGCCTTTTTTGTTTTATACTGTGAGCACCAACAAATTTGACTACTGAGCCCCTACATTGTGAATCCCATGGATTGCACTTTGATTCCAATGTGGAGGACCACAAACTCCTCTATCATGGAGTTGGGTGCTGGTAATTAAAGACCAGTTATTACCTAGGTGCCACCCAATCTATTGGATGCTCTGTAACGGCTGAAAAACTTGTACTGGACTGCTGGAACGCCTTTTTTTCCAGAACTAGACTGCATATAATAAGAAAACATAACTTTTACTAGTCATTTAAAACGAGAAAACATAAATTGTAAAAGCAAATAGGAGTAAATATCCAGAAAAGGCAGATAGAAATTGTAAAGATATTGGGCAAGATTATGTTTTACGCTTAAGGTATCAGCTTGTAGCTAACAAATAGCCAAAATGGCCCCAGTTTTGATGTGTGAAAAAAGAGTTACAAGAAAAATCACAATATTAGGGATAAATAGAAAAAGAGCGAATTTAGTAGATAAATAGTGGTCTTGGATCACTAGCACACCAGCATGATCTCTGTGAAATATATATGTATCTATTTATCTGTCTATCTATCTATCTATCTATCTAAATATTGACCAGAGCACCAGGTATTTATTTTGTTAAAGTTTGAGTGCAGGAGCTTTGGATTTATCTATCTATCTATCTAGATATATACATACCTATATGTTACATATATAAATACATTTATGTTATACATATATAATATATGCATATATATTAGCCATGGTTAGCTAGAACAGATGGAGTGGCACCAAATTCTGTACAATTCTATAATTACATACAAACATGGATTTCTATTATTACATTATATATATATATATATATATATATATATATATATAAATATTATATGGTATATTCATATCCCAAGGCAGTAATAATGCACAGCTGGGTTGCTGAGTACTGTATTGTGCTTAGTAATGATTTCTTCTTCCCATTGCTACAAGGAAAACCTTTTAAATGCTTTGTTGTTTTTTTAAAAGCATTCTTATATTACAACGGTATATTATTCGCCAATTGTCATAGTCATTACTCTTAGTGTGTTGTGACATCAATACTATGTCTGGTCCCTGCTTTCACAGTGACAGTCATAATCACCTGGTATGTATATAGCTGTTTAGAGTGAGCTGAGCCTCGTCTTGTAAAGCTGCTATTGCAGTGGAATTCTGGATAGTCCTCAATTCAGAACCACTATGTGTAGGAACTGGAAGGGAGAATGAATTCACTGTTAGTCATTTAATGTCTTAATGGCTTGTTAAAACATTGGGAAAAAAAAAAAATACAGGAAGTTATTAGCATAATACACTTTGTCACTGCCAACACAATTCTGTAGTAACTTTCATTTCACTCCACAGCTGTAAAACATTACGCTGTGTAATAATAACACTAAATATAACAGCTAATGTATGCTTTTGAGCGGCTGTTTTCATTATTTAAAGGGATGCTCTGAGCAACAAAAAAGCTTTAGCTTAATAAAGTGTTGTTTTTTTCGGTATAGACCATGCCCCGGCAGTCTTAGTGCTCAATTCTCTGCCATTTAGGAGTTAAGCATAGCAGGGACATAGCAAGATCATGAGGTACCCAGGGCAAGTCCTTAAAGGAACACTATAGGGTCAAGAACACAAACATGTATTCCTGACCCTATAGTGCTAAAAACACTATCTTGCCCCCCCCTTTTTATTGCCCCCCTCCTCCCCCCAAATTACTATACATACCAAAACAACTATATTAAGCCGTTTTGCTCTGGTGACTTTAGTGTGCCTTTAATTTGTGAACCCCCCTCCCTTCCTCCAACAACCAATTTTATGTCCCTGACAGATTACAGGTCCTTAGCTGACGATTTAAAAAAATAATAATATTAATAATAATGAATGTGTTTTTGGATCTTACTGCTGTATATGAGTAGGTTAGTATGTCAATGTGTCTATTTGCTAAAAAACCCTACCAAAAAAACGATCTGGTCAAGGAAGTTGACTTGGAAAAAAGAGATGAATTAGAGAATATTTCCAGTTTTGCTGTTTTGACAGAGATTTTGCTATTCTCTTGCAAATTACCACAATTCACGTTTTTACAGGAATTCCCTTTAAGTTCACTTTATCACCAATGCATCTTCCAAAGTAGGCAGCCCAATGTGCCTCCAGGGCAGCCTGTGCACAGAGTCCTGGTGAAGAGCTGTTTCTTGTCTCTTGTGTCACCAGACAACAAGAGAGACAGGGCTGGGTGAAGGTGTGTTGTATACGGTTTATGGTGTTGCTGGCTCTGGTGTTGTGTGTGAGTAGACTGCTTGTAGTATTGTGTGTTTGTAGGGACACTGCTTGTGTTCTTGCATGTTTGTGGGGATGTTACTTAGTGTATTGAGAGTTTGTGGGAAGGCTGCGTGTAGTGTTACATGTTTATAAGGATGCTGCTTGCGATGCTGCATGTCTGTGGGGAACACGTATGGGAGAACACTGCTTGTGGAAGAATTCTACAATTCTGGCTCATCTATTTTGGCCTTCATATATCATGCCATGCCTATAAACAAGAAAAAATAACTACTGTTGGGACGTTTAAGGAAATTGGAATCTTATGCAAGATAAAAGAAACAAGATCATCTGCTATTTTGTCTGTATGTCTGTCCGTCTGTCCATGTCTGTCTGTCTGTCTATCTTCCGAAATGTGAATTTTCTGATGTTTTTTTTAAAAATCATTTTCATTAGCTAACTTAAAGAGAATAAATAAATATGCTACAAATCCCTCTGTAAAATAAAATAGTTTTAATTAGTTTATCATTAATACATATATACTAACTATTGGCTATGTAGTTGATTAATCAACTTGTTGGCTAAAGCACTGGATCCAACTTTGGGGACTTTATTGGTGTTAGACTAGAACATATGTTATATACGTACCAGCTTTAAAAGTGACAATGCATTTGAGACAGGCAAATTCTGTAGCGTCGAGCCGTAGCTGACGAAACCTGGCCACCACTTCTTGTAAAGCCTGGATCTCTGAGATGATCTTATTCAACTTCTGCGAATCAGTGTTATCATTGTTCATTCCTAAAATCAAAACATACCCATTGCTTGGTTTTAATCTCTCTCAGATCTCCATACTTAACATCTATCAAACTGACAGCGCAAGATAAACTATTTCAGTGTCGATTTTATGTTTGGAAAGTTATTATGAAATACTCTTTTGGATGATAACAAACACAGTAATTTGCATTTCAATAACGATACAAGCAGTTATGAATACAACAAGACAACGCTATTTGCATTTAAATATAGATTTATAAATGACAGGTATAGTGTATTGTTCAGAAGAGATTTATTATTCTTCACATGTTGTTTTTGTTGCGAGTAATGTATTTTAATGTTAATTTTCTAGAACAAAGTCATTAAATTGAGCGGTCCTTACCAGAAACAGCCAGCAGTGTGTTAGCATCAACCGGGATGGCCCATTGTGAAATTCCCAGAACAAATAGCTCTCTCCATGCATCTTCCAGAAGCATCAGCTGTCAAATAATACACAAATGATTATAAGCACATCAGTCATACATGTTCTATTATTAAACTGTTCCTATGCTGGCTATTTAGAACTCTTTATAGCTGAATATTTTATTCCAATTACGTTTCATCAATGATATGATAAATAAAGGGGTTTGTATCGCATTGTTCTGTGGCTTACATTTAGAAGTGGTCTTCAGAATTAAATTGGTTTTAGAGCATAAAATTCCCTACGGATTGGTAGCAAGACAGACAACAAGGAAATCATTCATTAACTTCATTATTACATAGTGTCTGTTACCCCCCACCCACCATTTGTTTGTTTTTTACCATAATGTCTTTTTGTATGTGTATGTGTTTGTGTAATTATTTATAAGTTGTATGCGTAGTTGTGCCTGTACTTGCATTGATGATTTTTTTTAACACAGTGACTTTTATAGTCTGTATAAATGCGGGAATATGTATTTTCCCCAATTTGCCCAATTTTATAATTGAAAAATGTGTTTTATGACAAAAGTAGTAATACAATTATAAATACATTTAACAATATAAATAAAAAACATTATCAAAGAAAGTGGTATACAAAATTTTCTGCCATCTCATTGCAAAAATATGAAAATGTTTAATAAAAAAGACCCAGATAATGCACAGAAAAATCAGTATATATAAGTAAAGAAGAAGGGAAAAGGCAAAACAGAACAAATTTGCTATTTATTATTACAGAATACATATAAGTACTGCTGGACCAACCGATAATGTCCTCTGAGAATTGACCACAAAACTCGTAATGACCCGACAAGAATTTGTGTACTGAAATCAAGCACACCTAAAATAAAGTGCAAGTGTATTAATTTTTTATAAATTGTACAAAACGCTGAAGAAAGTGCTATTATCAAAATCTAGTGTGCAGAACCTCCACAAAACGCTCAAATATTGGCATTGACATTCCGCACCCTAAATGTATGGTAATTGTAATGTTTTGTGTATTTTGTTAAAAAAATACATTGCACTTTATTTTTTAACATGGTTGATTTTAGTACACAAATTCTAATTGCGCCATTGACAATTTTTTTTTTTTTTTTTTATAATTTATTTATTTCAATTTTCCTTTACAAAACGTACGAAACATTAGCGACATCCATACTAATATAGAAAGACATTAGCAAATGTAAACATTTAGCACTAATTAAATAGGACATGTAGTATTACATATATACATATATATTAAATATTGCTCATTATCATGTGTTTACACTATTGTTACTTGTTCCCTATTTCTTTACTAAATTATATTTTATTCATTAAACAAATCCATATACCAAAATAACAAAAACAATGGGCATGACAGAAATTTCCGTCCAACCGTCCTTCTAAGATTAAAGTTTTGTCTCCCATAATAGTCATCCTTCTTCACTATCTATTATTACTTTTATTAAATAATTGGCTTTACTAGGATTCATTAGTATGATGTACTTAACAAACATACAAAAACAGACTTGTATTGCAGACTCTACTTGGGGTAGTACAGTGGCACCTCTATCTTACTACCTTAAAAGAAATGGAAAGGAAAAGATGAAAAAACGCACATTATTCTATTAATTTTTGTCCAGGGTTTTATCTAATCAGACTCTCCATTTTTTCTTTCCAGAAATTGCTAACATCTCTAATTTTTATAGACTGGTATCCCAAGGCTTCCATGGTTAATTGGTATTGGACTTGTGAATACAGCTGAGCATGCGTAAAATTTGCGCTACTCTTCCAATTCCTTGCGATTATTATTTTTATTGCTGCTACAAAATGGACATAAATAAATTTGTTCTTAAAGAGGAGTGATTGCAGATTTAGGTGAAATAGACCATTCTGGTGGCCTCTAGGGATTTTTGTTTCTGTAATATACTCCAATGACTCAAAAGCCATAAACCACAGAATTTTTACCTTACTACAGTCCCACCATATATGTCCAAAAGTCCCCTCTTTGTCATTACATCTCCAACACAGTGCGGAATTAGAAGTGTACATTTTGGACAGTCTGGTGGGAACTAAATACCAGCGGTTCATTAATTTAAATAATACCTCAAGAAGATTCAAACAATGGATTATTTTACTTGTTTGATATAATACTTGGTCCCATTCAGACTTTAGAATCTGTACATTTAACTCTTTACTCCATTTTTGAATATTTACATTTAAATTTGGTGCTTCGAGTTGAAGAAGAACAGTCCTTGCCTTTGAGACTATTTGCGTTACCCTCTCATTTCTTAATAAAACTATCAGGTTTTCTATACCGGCTGTAGGTCGGTGTAACAAAAACTGTTTAATAAAGCTTCTGATTCTTAAATAATTGTACCACTCTTTCCTAGATAATGAAAATTCTTGTGTCAGATTTTCGAAAGATTTAATTTTATCTCCCGTTATTATTTGATTTATATAAACAATACCTCTCCTTGTCCATTCACTAATATTTAAATCTTTCATCCTTAGTTGTATAATACTAAGGTTAAAGTTTCCCAATATTTTATTGCGGATTCCGCTATTAATCCTAAGCTTTTCCCACTCCATTAGAATGGATTGCAAGCAATTATTAAGAGTACAGGCCTTTTTAATTCTTTCGTCTTGATTAGTTAACCATATCAATTGATGTAAATTTTCCATTTCTACCATCTCCATTTCTAATTGATACCATCCAGCTTCCTCTGAACTTAATAATTGTGTCTTATATATATGAAACATCATATTAGCTAAGTAGATTGTGTTGACATTTGGAAAATTTATCCCTCCTTTCCTACTTTTCTGCATCAAAAGATGCTTATTCATCCTCGGCCTTTTTCCTTTCCATATAAAATTGTTTATGTCTCGTTGTATCATAGATAACCATGGTTGTGGCATTCTCAAAGGGATCATACGAAATAAGTAGGACCATTTAGGGAGTAAGTACGAGTTTACCAAATTGATTCTACCCCACCAAGATAATTCAGTTTGTCTCCATCTTTTTAGTGACTCATGTGTCGATCTAAATGTTTTCAAGAAATTTGTTTGGACCGTATCTTTTGAATCATCAGAAATCACTATACCTAAATAGGATAACCTGTTTTTATCACAGTTAAATTTATATTTATCTTTAATCTGTTGGATAGAGTCTCTAGAAATATTTATAGCTAAAAAAGTAGACTTCGTTGTATTTATTTTATAATTTGAAATCAAACTGTATTTGTCTATCTCTTCCATTAAGGCACTAAGCGATTCGACAGGGTCGGTTAGGGTCAAAATCAAGTCATCCGCATATAAATTCAATTTAAATTCTGTCTCTCTGTATCTAAATCCTTTAATTCGAGGGTGATCTCTAATATTGGTAGCTAAAATCTCCATTGTCATAATATATAATATAGGCGACAGAGGACAACCCTGTCTCGTGCCATTTTTTAATGTAAACCACTCTGAACATATATTTGGAGCCACTGTTCTTGCTTTTGGACCTTCATATAGAGCTAAAATAGCATTAAGCATCCTACCCTGGATTCCAAATTTTTCCATAGTTATCCTTAAAAAGTCCCAACCGACCCTGTCGAAAGCTTTCTCAGCATCTACAGCCAATACAAATAAAGGTTTATTATTTCTTCCAGATGCATCTATCAGATCCAATAATCTTCTAGAATTATCTACCGGATCTCTACCTTGTACGAAACCAATTTGATCATTTTTGATTATATGCTCCATTAATCCCCTTAGTCTATTTGCCAAAACTGATGAAAAGATTTTAACATCTGTGTTAATTAAAGAGATGGGTCTATAGTTCTCCACCTTTACAGGGTCTTTATTATCTTTTAAGATTGGAAGAATATTTGCACTTAGCATTTCGGTAGGAAATTTGCCAACTGATACAATTTCGTTAAACATATTTGTTAAATGAGAAACTATAATATTTTTAAAGGATTTGTAAAATATATTTGCAAAACCATCTGGACCTGGCGTCTTTTCTGATTTTAATTTGTTTATCGCTGCCTCTACTTCTTGGACTGTAATTAGAGTATTTAAATTATTACTTTGTTCTAATGTTAATTTAGGTGTATTGGTTTTACTCAAATAATCCTCTTCATTTATTATCGGGGGAGTTAGATTATACAAAGCCTCATAGTACTTATTAAATCTCTCACCTATTTTTTGGGGGTCTAAGTATACCCCCTCTTCATCCACTATCTTTATTATTTTGCTGGATCCGATTTTATCTCTTAATTTTTTTGTCATATTTCTATCCGCTCGGTTCCCCCTATAATAATAGTTTGCTTTAAGTTTATTCATTAATTTTGCATTCTTTGCTGTCAAAAAATTATTTATTCTATTTTGAATACTTTTCAATTCGTCTGCCTTTTCTTTAGAAGGAGATTGCTTATTTTTACTTGCGATCTTTTTTAGTTCTGCTTGTAATTCTAGAAAAATTCTATTGTTTTCTGCTTTATATCTTGTTTGTATACTTATAATATTACCTCTCATTGTGGATTTAAAGGCACACCAATTGTTTATATATGAGGTGTCATTAGGGTCGTTTTCAAGAAAAAAGATTACTATTTGTTTTTCTAGTATATCAAGATTAATCTTAGATTTTAATAAATTTTCCTCCATACGCCAGGTATCACGACCAATCCTGGTCCATTGATTCTTCATCTCCCACATATTAATACTGTGGTCTGACCAAGTATTATCCAGTATCTTAAAATATTTAATATTCGTCAATGCTGTCATATTGCCCCACACCATATCTATTCGGGAATACGAAAGATGTACACGTGAGAAAAACGTATATTCCAGTGAGTCAGGATTGGTCGTTCTCCAGAGATCAAAAAAATCAAAATCAATCCTAATTCTATTAATAGATCTTGCAAGTTTATCTGTTCTTTTTTGATGGAACAATGTTGAGATTGTCTTCTTATCTAATATCGGATCCAATACACTGTTAAAATCCCCAGCCACCAAACATGTGCCTAATTTAATAGAATCTATTAAACCTAACACCCTTTTTAGGGTTGGAGCAGGGAAGTCATTGGGAAGATATATATTGGTCAATGTATATGGTATCTCATTTAATTTACAGCAGACTATTACATATCTACCTTCCTTATCCTTAATTTGATGTATTAAATCCACTTTTAGAGTGTGGGAAAAAACTATTGCTACTCCTCTTTTTTTTTTATCCCTTAATGAAGCATGTATCACTGTAGGAAATTTTAAACCACCCCAGCTTTGATTATCTATATCTGACCAGTGGGTCTCTTGAAAGAAGCCCACTTCCACTTTATTTCTCAACATATAATCGTATATTAGAGATTTCTTAATGGGAGAATTAAGGCCCTGAACATTAACCGAGATCATCTTTACCATTTTAATTCAAAAAGAAGAACCATTGTTGCCACTGACCCCAAGAGAGCTGCAATACATTCACACAAAACACAGATGGTCCATTGGACATAGACCCACATAAGCCTTATGGGAAAAACACCCAGTCTGGCCCGACACAGCCTGGCTTCCAAGTGGTTGTCTCTCGACTCACCACTCAGGAACCATCTGTGTCCTCGTGAAATGGTATTATAGAATACCATATCTCGGTATTTGTGTCAACACAGATGACACTCGGTGGGGCAATATAGAAGGGAGCGTCCGAAAATCATACACCAAAAAAAAAAAAACTTATTTTGCAGCCTGCGATCCTTAACAAGCTAGATATCTGGTCTTTAAAAATTTACAAACATTCCTTATATTGTGAAATCCGTGCGCCTATTTATAAAGTGCATTCCATACATCTTGTTCAAATTGTTATTACCACCATACCAATTATGTATTTTTCAAAAAATATATACAGTCTCTATCTCTTAGCTGTATTAAGTCCAACCATATATCCCAAATCTAGCCATGAATATATATATACAATCATTAACAGTTTATACTGTGTATATGGATCGATCTATCCTTTATATTAATTCTTCCCGTGTCTTATTCAGATTACCAGTATTTCCATATCCTTTATAAATTCTAGTTCTGTGTGTAAGTATTACATCTTTTTACAGTGTTAGACTACCAATTTTATAGATTAACGCAGTTTATGTGATTATTTAATCCTTAAAAATACTAGCTCTTACCATCTTTCTCAAACGTGTACTAATAATAAACCCACCATACACATTATCATTAACACTCATTCTTTAGCATTATCTTTCTCCATGCTTCCATAATATCTATCAATTCCCAAAGACCCAGCCTTTTTTTTTTTTTTTTGATTGTCCTTTTCCATCCAGACTACTGCAAATTCTCTTGGGTTTTTAGTTAATGTCACGTATTATATGGCGTCCACAATTGATTGCTCTTCCATCCATTTTCTCAAGGCATCCAGAGTAGTGAATTTTTCATTCGTTCCTCTCCAAAAAATCCTAAGGCATTTAGGGAATCCCCATATGTATTTCACTTCTTTAGATCTTAATATGGCTAGTTCCTGAATAAAACTCTTCCGCCATGCTCTTGTTTGGAAAGATAGATCCTGGAAAACCTTCAAGTTCTTAAATCTCTCTTCTGTAACTGGCTTACTTCTCAGAGAACTCATTATTTGATTTTTAGTGAAGAAAGATTGAAATTTGACAATTACATCTCTCGGTAATGATTCAGCCACATTTCTGGGTCTGGGTAACCTATGATATCTTTCTAATTCTGAGTCTTGTAAACCAGCTTGAGATAATACTGTTTCAAAGTATTCCACTAAAAATTTTTTCAGTGTTGATTCGTTAATATGTTCCGGAATATTACGAATTCTTATGTTAGTTCTCCTGGAACGATCTTCCAAATCATTTATTTTATCCTCTAACAATTCTACCTTGGATTGCAGGTCTGTCATTAATAACTCTATATGTGCATTTTTAAGATCTGTTTGGATCGTCTTAGACTCTATAGATTCCAATTGTACTTTCATATTTCTTATCTCATGTTTTAAGTCTAATGATCCTTTTTGAATGTCTTCTTTAATGTTTTCCTGCAATTTATCTAGGTAGTTAATTAGAGTCTCTTCAGTTAGAGGTTTACCCGCCTGTGTAACATGAGAGGGATTAGAGTTAGATTTGGGGGGAGGGGAATTATCCTGATTTTCAAGATTCAATTGGGATTTGTTTGGAGGAGGGGAGAAATAACCTGACAACCTTTTGTCAGTGATGTTATCTTTTTTTTCTCTTTTTTTTCTTTCCTCCTGTGGCTTTCTAGTTGCCATTTTGTTTCTCCAAATAAAAAAATTCCTGTCTCTTTTGTTATTCTCCTTTTCCTTCTTTCTTTCTTTCCCGTTTCCTTCCTTCCTTCCTTCTTTCTTCTTTCTCTTCTTTCTCTTTTCTTTACTCTTTCTCTTTACAGGCAACAAAACTTTAAGTAAAAATTCTCAGTATTTATAGACCTGTTGCACTTATTTTTTTTCTCCTTCACTCTTTCCACTTCCACTTCCTCCCCTTTTTTTCTCTCTGGGGAAAATCACCCCTCCGTTTCCTCTAATTCCTCCTCCCCTGGTGTTTTATAAAACAATATTATTTCAATTGCTGTTTTCTATCCTCCTCACCCCCCATCTCTCTTTCACTCTCTCAATGCCATTATTTCTTGGTCTTTAATAATATCAATACTGCATATAGCAGACTTATCTTTGTAGCCGCTATTTTCTCTCCTCGCCAGGTCTCCCCTACGTCTCTACTCGAGGGCTGCCGCCGGATCCCCTCAATTTTCGCCGGACTGAAGGGAAAAGAGAAAGCCCAGGTAGTCTCGTCGGTAGTCTCGCCTCAGTGTGTCGGATGTGTCGGCCAAATCACCCCCTCGCCGCCAAAAAGACACCGCCGGACGCCCTTCCACTACATTGCCCCTCCTCTCACGTAGACACGCACCCGTCTACGTCATCACACTCCCGGGACATGCATTGTTAATGGCGGTTAGAAAATGGTCGAAATGTCCATTGACAATTTTTTTTGTGGTCAAGCATACTATGATAGCTGTTGCAATAGATAAGGTTGTTACATAATCATGGTATTTCAAGGTCAAAGAAAATTAGCTAGTCCTTTGCAGACATGATGAGAAAGGGGTAAGGACAGGGCCTGTAAATACTGGACCAATGTCAAACTGGACCAAAAGGCTGGTCTTTCTCAAAAACACAAAGATGAAATTCCTCAAAGACTCAATTTTATCAACTCTGGTGATCCAGTTTAATAGGGATGTGATTCTGGATTGCTTTCAAAATGTAGGTAAGAGACCAAGGTAAATATTATGGCATCGTATATTGGTACTTGAATTGGATTTGTATTAAGGTAAGAGACTGCTCAATGTAAGAACCTGGAAAAATGATGAGGGGGTGGGGGGGGGAGAATAATGACCAGGTTTACTAAATAAAAGTTTTTTTTAAGAGTACTGATTGCATTGTCCATGTTCCTAGTTCGGAAATATACATTACCTAAACCCAAATACACTGCACCATAAAGAATCCACTTGACTGTAAGATCTCCATAAGGTATCTTTTATAAATGGCAAAATTCCAGTAGGAAATAATGCCCCGCTATGTAATTTGCTTGTAGTATATTACATACAGACTAAGGTAGTTTATTTCCCCCGGTTAAAATTTACCAGCCATAGGGTAAACAGTGTACAATGTTTCCGTAGATGTAGTCATATTTAGAGCATCTTAAAATATAGGATATTACAGAAATTAATCAATTATAATTTAGGCTTTGGATGAGAAAAAAAAAATCAATTCACTGATATTTAAAGAAACACACACACAATCTGTTTACAGTGTATTTCTTACCTGATCTGGGAGAGACAGAGTAGAGAAAGCAGGCACACTCTTTGCCCATTTAATGCTCATGAAAAGAAGCCTGGCAGCCGATTCACACACCGATTCAGTAGCTACCTCATATAGATAAATAGGTGCTCCATTCACTTCATGTGGATACTAAAACACAGAGAAAATATGTTTAACTACTTTTAGAAAAACTGAGAATAAAAAATGCCAAAACTTTAAACCTCATACCAAGGGTCATAGTGGGATAGGCAATGAAAAATATAAATTTTCCTTATCTATAAATAAAAGAAAATATCCCTATTTCTAATCAATTATTTCAACCCTAACCTTAAATGAATATCCAAAATCCCAAGCTTGAAATGAAGACCTTAACTGTAAAACTCAGTGTAACAGTAACTTCACTTACATTTCAGGACTGCACGGAGCAGTCTCTTTAGCCACAGTAAGCCTAAGGATGGAGGAGTTCAGAAGATTGATCAAGTGTGAGGGGAAACAGCTTTTGACAGAGAACCTAATCCATCAGAACGCCAGCATATGTGCCTTCTTGAGCAGACCAAAAACAACCAAATGTGACAACCTAATGTAACAGGCAGAGGAGGCATGAAAACTCTTGGGTACAGATTGAATGCATTCCTCTTGAAAACTCTGGCTCAGAGTATTGCCACAGGTTAATGTTTTAATACCCAGAGTGGTACAGCTCACAAGAGGAATTCATAATGACTGAAACTGCACTAAGCAGAGGTGCAGACCTGGAGCACTGGACCACCAGGGATCTTGATATGCTCCCTCCCTAAGCGTAGGTAACCAAAATGGAGAGGGGAATCAAATATAATTAATTTAACATTAAAAAAAAATCTTGCATAACTCTGTAAGCCCCTGTCTCTCTTTCTCGCACAATGCCGCCCCTATCCCAACCCACACTTTCCATATATACCCTATGCGGACACTAGATCCCCTATACACACATAAACACTTACTACATACTCATACAAATGAGGATGGCGCCTCCTCCCTGCTCCCTGACACAATTTTTGTGTGTGTCCAAGCATAAGTCCTCAAACCAACAAAGGATAAGGAACAAGAATAAGGGTAAGCGGGGGATAGTAGACACACAAGGGGTAAGGAGGGTAAGAGGGAGAGAAAAGGTGGGGGTTTAAGAGGGATGAAAAGGGTAAGATTAAGGGGCACACAAGAATTAGGGGGCTTAAGAGGCACACTTTCCAAGTGATTTGGAAAGTTTTTCTAACAATATTAAATCATTTGGAAAGCTTTTAAAATCAAGGCCTTAATTAACTACAAGAACATTTGCTAAAGTGCTTTATATCATCACTTTAATTTTAAAATAAAGTGTTATTATAATTAGTGTTAAGCAGTTTTGTGCTAATAATTCAAATATCAGCTATATGAGGACTGGGTAATGTCTCATGTCCATTCTCTACTAACCCATGAAGAATACATACCCAGACCTTCCAACATTTCAAATGGACAAAGAGGGACAATTTAATTTTAGGGGCGTGGCTGTGAATTTGGCCAGGAGCTGGGCTGTTCTGTTTATGCAACTTAAATGTAATTTAGAACAGGAACAATGTATCACGCGCACGCAGACTGATTTCTAAATACATTTATTGTAGTTTAAAGACACATATTGTGGATCTCTGTTATACACTCAGACACACCAACAATATGGAACTGATAGAAAAGAGGGACAAAGAGATAAGGGCGCAAAAAAGGACTGACCCTAAACATTGCAAATGAAGCCTCTTCATTGCCTCACCTTGACATTGTATTGTGTTCCTTTCTTATTGACAGCCATGTTCAAAGAGCAGAGTTTATAACAATGACATACAAGGGGCTAGGATGGAGGTACCAATTGCAGAATAAAAAGTTGTTGATTTCTGTATTTAATTTTATTTTTAAAACTCACAAATACATATTTGTTAAATTAGTAAAAGTTATATTAAAAATTCTGAGAAGTGACAGATCTCAAGGAAAAACTGAAACACTCGTCCAGTTGTGAAAGATTTTTTTAAACATGATATTTGAGTATGAATAAGTATATGAGTTTGATATTGAGTTTACGACTATAAAAGAAACCCTTCGGCTGAAAGCAAATTGAGAAGTAGGTTGTTCCAGATATATTTTCCAAAACAGGAGATGGATATAGATGTAGAGACACCACTTTGAAGCATTTCCAATTTTGCAACAAACTAGGAAAAAATTCCTTCTTGACCGCAGAATAGCAGTCAGATTTATCCTCGGATCAAGAAGCTATTACCCTATAATTGAAAATGATCTAATCGAATCCTATATCCTTGAATATTTTCTAGCTTAATCAAGAGAAAATTATGGTATGGGATAAAATGGCAATAAGCAGAAGAAACAGTGGTGCAGAACATCTTTAATAATAATATAAAATATCTCCAGCAGTAATTCATTTCTCTCTTTAATGGAGGGTAGTTTACCTTTGGAGTAGGCTGTGCCAGTCCAACCAGTGTCTGTCTTTCGGGGGTAGTCGATACTGCGGCCAGTTCCAGGGTGTGTGGCTCTAGTTGACTCACGGCGGTGAAGAAGTTAGGGGTTGGTAGAGCTGTTGATGGGAAGTGAGGTGCTGATCCATTTACATCTTTGTGCCCTCTGAAGTACAAAGCCACTTGCTTCCTGATGGTGGATGTTCTTGGCCCTCTTTCATGTTGTACAGCTGAAATCAATCCAGTAATCATCTTTGAACTAATCAAATATATTTAGCAAAATGATGCAGAGAACAGTATCTTAGATACTACAGTTCATTAAAAGGTTAAAATCATGAAAATGTTCCCTCATACTGTGTCCTTGAGAACATCTCTTCCTTATGATTTTCCTTTTTCTAAATAACTACATTAATCTATATTTTTATCAGAGGCACATCAATCATTTTTTAATGTAGGCTTCAGTTCTTAAGCATAATGCTTCTGATTTTGCTTATCAAAAAAAAAAAAAACACGACTGTCTCGCTGATTGCTAAGAAAATATGATAATTGGATTTTTTTTCTTTTTCTAATATAAGTAACAATACATGATTGTATATTTCGGTCAAAGGATATCATGTTTTCTTATTAAAAGATACTACTAGCTGTTTATTCAGATCTTGCAATAATTACCATCTTTATTCATATTGACTTCCAAACACTTCTTTAGGCGGCATGCTCTGCACTGATTCCTGTGCGTCTTGTCGACCGGACAACCTCCCTGGAATCGGAAACAATAAATTAATGCATTAATGCTCCTCCGACCTTCTCCATGTGGGTTGAATTACTTGGTGAAGTACAACACAGGTCAAAAATGCATGGCATACCAATTGGTTGATTGCACACTGGGTTTTACGGAAAGTGTTGGCATCACAAAAATTAGTTTATGATTTTTGCTTGTTTGAAAAATAATTATATGCTATTGCTAATCATGAACAATACTTTCATTTTTTTGTTTTGCTTTTTTTTGTAAGTTTCACTATTTGATAGGCTATTGCAGATTGCATTTTGTGTTTTCCTTTTCAGAGTTTATTCATGAAATTTTATAATAATATATATTTGCAGTAAAAATAAAATAACTTATATTTCATATAGTAACCATGAATCTACCCCTGCTCGCCAAAACAGTAGTCCCAAAAGGACAATATCATGTAACATATTAGTGATATGAAAGATACAAAACGTTGTAGATAAGAAAATGGAGACTAGCAGGATTAACTATAAAGTGACCTTAGGTACTGTTTTTTTCCCCGAAAATAAGACCCGAACATAGAGCAGCTTACTAGCGCATGGAATCCCACGAATCTATGTTCGGGGGAAAATTCCCCAAACATAGATTAGCGAACTAGCGACTAGGGCTTATTTTCGGGGTAGGGCTTATTTTCACGGGATATTTTATTTTCGGGGAAAACTCAGTAGCTGTTAGGACACATGGGTTACACAGCTTATTACCAGGAACCAGGAATTAATTTACTTGACCCCAATAAAGGTGCACATTTTAGCCTGCTTTGGAAGGAATAGGATAGGAAGGAGAATCCAAAATAGTTGTGGGAGTTTCCCAATGTACACTAAGTATGCAATCCCCTTAACCATCTATTGGCATTACCTAACATTCGATTCCTTTGAGCAAATAATTTGTTTTGGAGTACAATTTGCAAAGTATTGCAATATGGCTCTCACAGTCTCAGTGTCCTCTCTTAAGACAACAATGTCAGCTGTAAAGAGTTAGTGAACCTTAACACCACTTAATATTCACCATTCGTTGTCGAGGTATTATATTAAGGTCCACATCTAGTAGCACAAGGTACCATAATCGTATAGGATTATGAAGACAATATAATCCCCTATAACTCTCATTCCCTCTGTTAGAAGTCCTCTTTGTTTTTGGTTCTCCTATCCATATTATGTTTGGTAATCCTACAGCAATATTTTTGCGTGGCTGAGTTTTAAGGCATCAGCCTTGTCGTTGTTGGGAAAGGCAAAAGAACTTGGCAGCTTAACTGACAGTTTTTCACCATACCATTGCTGGATGCTGGATTTTCATGGGAGAGGTATCTTTTGTTTTTCATTATTATTATTTTATTATTATTTTATTATTATTTAAATAGCGCCATCACATTCCGTAGCACTGTACAATTATTGTAGGAGATGGGTAGCTGAGAGGTGCCCATTATGAATTGAGATAGAGAAGGATGGCCTCAGAATTTGCCAGGTATCCTCACATATACCAGAACTTTGGCAAAGCACACCCTTCATAATTGTCTACTTGGCTCCATTCCACACTCTCTAAATGTATTGTGGGGTTAAATGGTTCAAGACTGTTCGAAACCTACTTCAACCCCATGTACCTCATCTCCCATAGACAAAAGAATTTGACCTTGGAGATTAGGGCAGAAATTCCCACCCCTCCAGGGATTGCTCTTATCCCATTAAGGACACAACTTCAGAAATAAAAGGGAATCATGACGGAATATTCCGTCATGTGTCCTTAAGGGGTTAAAGGCTTAATTTGAGCACATTTGTTTTATTATGTAAACACATAAGAGCTGATTCAAAATTACCAAAATAAATAACAGATGCATCACCCTTTTTTTACATTCATTATTTTTTGTGCATTGGTATGTCAAGGACAGATTTAACAGGCAGGATTTAACAGAAAGTCAGCTTTAATGAATTACAACTCCTTCTCATGCAAATGCCTAGTTAATTGGCACATTTTATATAGTAAACAAGAGTAGAGCAGTGTTAGGTACTCAAGAGAGGGAGTGATATGAGGTGGCGTTCCTATAACGTTATAGTCTTGCTAGTAGTTCCCCTGGGGTGTGTCATTTAGTGTATGTATGTATGTCCTTTCTGTTCACACCCTAATGGGGTTTAACCACCCTCCCAGATTACCGGTAGCGACAATGGATTCTTAGTAGATGATGTGGCTAAACTATACCTAGCCCTACCCTGCAGGGAATAGCTTGGTGTGTAGAGCTTAATGTGATATCCCGGTGTACCAAAGCAGGGAGGTGTCTAGTGTGGTGGAGTGGCTATTAGATCTCTATAATTAGTATGTGGCATGCGTAGATTAAAAAAAATAAACATGTAAATAAGTAAAATGAAAATTAAATTAAACAAAAACTGAAAACATAAAAGACTGACAGTATTTTGTATATAAAATTAAACAGTCTCTGAAGAGATCTCGGCTTCAGTGGAGAATCCTTCCATTGTACAGCGCTATGGAATTTGCTGGAGCTATATATATAATAAAATAATAATAATCCTTGTGGGGCTCACTAGCAGTCCATGCCAGACCTTTCAGGACGCGTCTCTGGCAGGTTCCAGGCGACAGGCTTTGCGGGAGGTGAATTCCTCTATAGTAGAAGGACCAAGCTGTGCTAGGTCTGATATAGTCGCCGGTTCCGTGAGGCCCAGGCTGCGCATGTGGGATTCCAATTCGGAGTAACACAGTGCACGGTAGGTTGTTCCCGTGTGTGTAAAGGTGAGGTATTTCGGGGTCCCACAGCATTATATGATGTTTTTCGCATGGAGAAGCTGCAGTAGTGGTTGCAGTGCTCTGCACCATTCCAGCATGTTGCGGATGAGGTCAGGGAACAGTTGTAGCGAGGTTCCCTCAAAATGCAGGGGGGTCTTCCCTCGCGTTGCAGCTTGGAAGCGGAGGAAGACAGAATAGACCATCCCATTTCACCCCTTTCGCTTGTTTTGGTGGTAGCAGTGTATTAAGCGAACGTCTGACAAATTGAGTAAGTCTCCTCTGATCTTCTGCGGCATCCTGTTTATCATTGGTGGCTGTTTGTTGTTTCTGTAGAGAGTTTGTGTTCCAAAGAGGTTATCCTGGAATCTTGAGAACTTGTAGTTGCCTCCAATAGGTTTATCTTAGTGGTAGTGCCTTCTATGGCATCCTTGTAGTAGGCCATATCTGTCGCCAGATTTGTCCTGAGCTCAGCCAGCATCTGCTTCAGCTGCCCCGCCGTGACCTTGTCACTGTCAGAGAGTTTCTTAGTGTGAGGGACCATCAGCAGGCTGTGAGATGCCCCTGCTCCTGGATCGAAGGGGATATCCTCTGAGGAGCATGAGGATTCTTCAACCTCCAGAGCCATCTTGTCCCAAGCCATGCGTTCTCCTATATCGCAGCTCATCGGGCCCCTATCAGCCTTCACTTTTTTATTTTTACACCCCATAGCACCTTCCCACAGCAGGTACGAGGTCGAGTGGTGTGTTGTGGGCTGGGGATCACCATTAAAATCTCTATTTTTCAGCAGAGTATCTCGGAGTTCTCAGGTATGCTGCCTCTCCGTTAGGCGGCTAGCTCTGCTCCCCCCCCCCACATTACCCTTCTCAAGGAGTAACAATTAAATAAATTTAATGAGATTTTCAACTCATTCATACCACACGCTTCCCTCTGCTAGTGGACTCATTGACATTGTCAGACATATTATGAATCCCAACAACATAAATCAACGCACTAAATATTACAAATGTTTCTTCTAGAACATGGTTCTCCAAATTCTGGTCCTCCAGATGTTGATGAACTGCAACTCCCATGATTTTCTGGCTGTTTCATTCAAACAATCATGGGAGTTGTAGTTAAGCAACATCTAGAGGGCCAGAGTTTGGAGAACCCTGCCCTAGAATAACAAAACGTAAAAAATTTGAAGTGTAAACTTTAGCAATCATAACATGACAGTTAGTGTTAACTCACCAGAAAGCTAGGCAGTCATTTTAAAACTGGATATATTTTACATATTGCCTCAATCCATTCATATGCTAATCTCAGCAATCCTCACCTGTCGTACATCTCTCTATTGTAGTTTACAGAACCGTAGAACATCATGCTAACTCAAGCCAAACTCATGTTAAACATCACAATTACAGACTTTCAAATCATCACTAGACTCTTAATCAATTATATAAAAAAAATTATAATTGCAAGTTGGCAAAAATATGTACGGATGTGGCTTCTGTGGACTGTATCCCCATTAAATCACTTCTCCTAAAAATGTGAAGAGGATATTTCACCAATGTCTGTAACTATCACTTTTTGTTTTAATTATAAAAAAACGTTTTAATTATCCATGTAACTCCTTTTGGTCTATTACTGCTGGCGAAGCAGACTCTTTTTTTGGCATTCTATGCACTGACTTGGGCTGATGATTTAATAGCTGGTGTAAGAGCTTAAACAAATGAAAAGACAAAAAGAGCTCTAATAAAACAGGAGGTCTATTTGGTCAAATGCCATTTGATTTGAACAGCAGTATATTAGTTTGTTTGCTACAACGACCATGATTGTATATCACAATGATGGTAGTATCACCCAAAGCAGCAGGGGTTTGGGTCTGCCACATTATTGTTTTTGCCATTATGTTAAGCAATTGGCACAAATAGTTTCTTAGTATAACCCTGGAGAGCACAGAAGATGGATCTCTTTAGAGGAAGCTCTAAAGTCACTTGGCCTACCCAAGGTTGTATGTTGGAATCAGAATCACCGAAAATCCTTACGAGTACTAAGTGTACATCCATCTACAATTCTTTGAGAATCTGGGATCACACAGAAGTAATAGAAACGTAGAAACATAGAATGTGATGGCAGATAAGAACCATTCGGCCCATCTAGTCTGCAAAATTTTCGAAATACTTTTAATTAGTCCCTGGCCTTATCTTATAGTTAGGATAGCCTTATGTCTATCCCACGCATGCTCAAACTCCCTTATTGTGTTAACCTCTACCACTTCAGCTGGAAGGCTATTCCATGCGTCCACTACCCTCTCTGTAAAGTAATACTTCCTGAAATTATTTTTATACCTTTGCCCCTCTAATTTAAAGGACCACTATAGGCAGCTAGACCACTTCAGCTCAATGAAGTGGTCTGGGTGCCAGGTCCATCTAGGGTTAACCCGGCAGCTGTAAACATAGCATAGTTTCAGATTAATCCAGCCTCTAGTAGCTTTCTCATTGACAGCCGCTAGAGGCGCTTCCGCGCTTCTCACTGTAATTTTCACAGTGAGACGATGCCAACATCCATAGGAAAGCATTGAGAAATGCTTTCCTTTGGACTGATTGAATGCGCGCGTGGCTCTTGCTGTGCATGCTCATTCGGCGGATGACGTCGGAAGAGGGAGGAGAGTCCCCAGCGCCGAGGGATCCCGGCTCTGGAGAAAGGTAAGAATTGAACCCTTTCCTCCCCCTTCAGCCCAGCGGGAGTGGGACCCAGAGGGTGGAGGGGACCTAAAGACCCTATAGAGCCAGCAAAACGAGTTTGTTTTCCTGGCACTATAGTGGTCCTTTAAGACTCTTGTTGTGGTACTTTTTTTCTTTTAAATATAGTCTCCTCCTTTACTATGTTGATTCCCTTTATGTATTTAAATGTTTCTATCATATCCCCCCAGTCTCGTTTTTCCTCCAAGCTATACATGTTAAGACCCTGCAACCTTTCCTGGTAAGTTTTATCCTGCAATCCATGAACCAGCTTATTAGCCCTTCTATGAACTCTTTCTAAAGTATCAATATCCTTCTGAAGTTGCGGTCTCCAGTACTGCGTACAATACTCCAAGTGAGGTCTCACCAGTGTTCTGTACAATAGCATGAGCTGCTAATACCTCTCCCTATACAACCAAGCATTCTGCTAGCATTTCCTGCTGCTCTATTAAATTGTCTTCCTACCTTTAAGTCATCTGAAATAATTACTACTAAATATATTCCCTTTCAGCATCCTAATGTCCAATTGTCCCCCTTCCTAAAGAATTGAACCTTCTCAGGTTGCATGAAGGCAAGACAATCTGAAGATTTAGAAAGATATGTGGTACAAATGATAGATAGTAGAGTGAGCTTCTAAATTAAGACAAAGAATATATACAACGTGTGTGTGTGTGTTTGTTTGCATTTGAATGCCGAGGCAATGACTGACAAGGGAGAGCATAAAACACCTCTCACTGGAGGTCCTACTGCTCTCCTAAGCATCTGCTGGGGTGGCTATGGAACCTCCCTAGCCAGCAACAAAGCCAGAGTGCCAACGTCACTGAGGAGGCTGGCCCTGCTTGAGGATTCGTCCAAAAGGAGGACAAATCAAAGAAGCTGGCTGACCAGAGGCGGAGCGGAGGACAGCCCAGAGGTGAGTGTTACACGAAGCGGCACTGGAACTGAGAAAAAGGTGTATAAATCTCTATATTTTACAGGGAATACATCATGTACACTATCTATGTGATATATGGTGTATTCAATGTATATGCAAGCATTTAAGGCAAGTTTATTTTTTTACTTACAGGTTCACTTTAAGGCCACAGAACACCTTTATCTTGCTGGAATTCACAAAATTTTAAAAAATAAGAACCTTAAAAGAAATACGTGTTTATAGAAAAATGAACTCTGTGTTGCTAAGGATTTATACAAGGGCTCCTTATTGGAATAAGTGTTTATTTGTTACTTCTTTTTTGCTAATTTCATACACTGTTACCAAGATTTAGAATGCAGAACGTTCATTCTGATGTTGTTGAAAAGAACTAAAAATGATCCATACTAATTGCTTCACTAATAGTCACTACCAGCATAATAGATTCCTTGTGTGTTATACGTCTTTTCAGCTGCTAACATGACAAATAGTGTAATGGGAGCCTTTAAAATGAACTGACTCACAGTGAATGTTTTAATATCACATTACAAAGGTTTTAGGTAACAGCTCAACAAATTGTGCTAACCAAATGGTTTTAATTCATATCATCCAAATATTCTAACAGCCAGAATGTAAAGAAATATTTTCAATCCAAACAAATATATTCAACTGTGGTTGGAAATTCAGAATTTGGGAATAACACCTAATTAAAAATTACAGAAACGTTTAAAATCAGAGAATCTGTAAACTTACCTTAGTAGTTCAACCAATCACAGACCTTGGCCACCAAACATAACGCCAAAGGCACTTGACATATATTACAATTACAACAGGTATTTGTCATATAATTTTGAGTTGCTTCATTAGTGTTTGCTGTAATCTGACAATTATCTAGCGCTCATCATGTTTTTAGCAAACGAAAGTTAATTGAGAACAGATAAAAAAATTTAGAATGCAGTAGTGATGGGTATGTAAACCTCCATGTGATGCTTAGCTTTTCCAAAGCGGCAAAGGGATGATAACTTACACTAGCATGTTTTCCCAACATTGGGTGGGCCTTTATTAGGCATTGCCAGTCAAGCACTGCTGTGCCTCTTGCACAGAGTAAGTGCATCTAATGATAATAAAATTATAATTCAAAGTGACTTTAAAATTTAAGACCAAAGTAGCCAAAATGAAAGTGTAGCTAACTGAGAGAATATTTCCAGTTTCCCTATTTTGACCTTAAATATGAAATTTACTTTGAATTCTCAATTTAGTGAATAACTCTGTCAGTCAGTATGGAGAGGTGCGTAAACTCAAAATAGGGACTGTCCTTCTAAAAGCAGGACACCTGGTAAGTCTGCACTTAATTACAAGAAAACACTATTTTTGGAACTCATTTCTTCAGTGCTTATGCTTTCATATAACCAACACGCTACATCAAAATAACCCCATTCACTACTGAGCTCATTTTAATTGAAAAAAATACTAGCATAACATGTATTTGAAGCAAGGGATTTATAACTAGCATCTAAACATATCATACCACAAACATTTTGTGAATAAATTGCTTTTCAGACAAATAAAAAAAATGGAAATTATGTAAGTTTGCACAGATTTTATTTTTCACTTATTCCTTCCTCCTTTATAAAAATATTTGTAAAATGAAAAACTTTAGACCAACGGTGCCCAACTGTCCGCAAACAGGTCCGTCTTTCTGCATGGGCACTGTTGCCCATGTGCTGGGGCCAACATGAGAGATCATTTAATCTCCCCTGCCAACCCACGGAGAGAAATCCCTGCTCACTTCCTTTGGGCCCTCTATGGGCCAGTGGGGAGATCAAAGGTCTACCTCACCTGCCCAGAGGCCCTTAATAAGTGACAGGTAGGACCTAGGAGGCAGTTCCTTCCGCGGGCATGCTGGTCAGGATGTTGCCACGGAAACACTCTGACAGCTTACTGCTCACGGGAGAAGTGAAGACAGCCTGCAGCTCCTCTAGCTGCAGGCTGTCTTCACTTCTCCTGTGAGCAGAATGCTGTCTGAGCATTGCAGTGGCAACACTCTGACCAGCATACTTGCGGGAGGAACTGCTTCCCACATATGGATAAGTTGCCCAAGGCAATTCCTCTGCGCTCAGTGCGGCCCAGGGAAGCCAAAAGGTTGGACAACCATGCTTTAGACAGTGGATATCATCCTTTATCTTGCAATATTTCACACAGGGTATGAAATGTTAGTATAAAAGCAAAAATGTTACCGATATAAAGTAAAATACATAAATAAAAATGGGCAGGTACCTAATTTTGACCCTGAAGGTATTATCAGCAATAAAGCTTACTAAAAAGATAGCATAATGTAAATAAAATGTCTGCATTTGAGCATAATGCCCACATACAGTAAATACAGTTAAATCATATATTTCAAAAATAAACATAAAATAAAAATATTTATCAATCTCTGGAATGCTAATGTAATGCTGACAGTAAAATAGTGGTGTCCATTCACTCCTCCTCTCTCCCTTATTGTAGGAATAATATGCCTTATTGAAACTTCCTGTACTGTTTGACAGCAGTGTGTGAGCTTACATTTTCAGCAACTTTACTGCATTGTATCAGTTACCAATGGCTTCTGGTAGAGAAATGTGTTCCTCTACAGGCTGACATTTATAACTAGGTATAAATAAAGATGAGTGAGGCTTTATGGACAAGATTTCATTTTTCAAAATGCATGAAAATGTTTGCACTCGATTTTAGATAGAAAAGTGGTATAATGTAATCCCTTTGGTGACTAATCTTCATACTCTGATATTTATTTCTTTTTAGAACTTAATACACAATATAATTACTACAGTTTTAGGAAGTGATGTGCAAAGAAATGTAAAATGATAACCACATGGTGTCTCACAAATTTCCAAAGAAATTTGAAATGCACGGTAGTCTCCAGGTTTGATAGTAAGTTGACTGTGTGTAAACAGACTCATTACTGACCATTACTTTTCAACGATGAGCGATGCTCATTTTCACATGAAATCTGCAGAGTATATAAACTGGCGACTTTACAATGCAAGAATGTAGGTGGCTCATCAGTCGATTATCCTGATGTTCGGACTGAAGCGGACACATTTGGAAAAGGAAAAAAATGGCATGTGCCATAAGAAATACATACTATTTTTTTACCATTCTATGGAAAAAAATTATTATAATTTGCCTATTTTAGAGAATGTTATTTTTATAGTTGAGTGGCATATTAACGTTATACAAAAAGGGTGGTTGGCGTTAAAGGATTAGCTGCATATCTTGGGCAGTCCAGCTAACAGCAAGCAGTGGGCATGTGATACAGACTACAGGTTTGAATTTTTTCAGAGATCTTCACTGAATCTGATCTGAGCTAGTTAACTCTTGACAGTTCCAATTTCATTTTAAATCGCTCTTTTGACTCCATGCATATCTCCGGTTTCATAGAAGATAATATTCCTCCAGAAAAGAATGGCAAATGCTCTTTTTATTTTACAAGTCAAGCTACAATAAGTCGTCAACAAAGAAGGCATTATGATCAATTTTCTTCTAATTAAATTATCGCAATGTGATAAAATAAACAGACTAGGAACCTCTGGCAGAAAAGTGGTTAACCATTATATCATGTTTTTCTTTGTATTATTTCACATATGTGTTCTATCTGAAATGTGAGAGAAACATATCGAGTGTACAGTGAAACAAAAAAAGCACAGCTCTGAGTGTTTATATCAAATATCACATCATATCCAACACAGAACGACTGTAGTAGGTGGCCATTAATGCAGGTCTCCTTTATGTAACACCAAGACACAAAACTACTGTAAAACAATATGAAAACACACCAATTACGAAAGTATATTTGCTTTGATTGTAAAGTTTCTGTAATTTTGCCTTTTATTTAGCTGAGTTTATCCTTGTCACTACTGTAATTACAACATGGCTTGCACCTTCAGAGAGCATTTAGAAAAGTCATTATATTGGGGGAGATTTATTGTTTGGTTCTAATCTACGAATATCTACGAGTATGTTTTCCTGGCACTATAGTGGTCCTTTAAACTTTAGGAATATGAGAATCGTCAAAACATAAACAAATTGGATACAAGTATCTTCCTTATCGAGTTGTACTAGGAAATAGACAATCAGTGATGTCATGGATTTAAAAAGATCATCCTTAATTTGGACTGTTGGCATCTACCCCTGTAAGTTATGGGGGCCTTTATTATGTTTATTCTTTAATACCTGACTTGCAGTTTGAGTGGTAAAACATTCATAAAAACAAATGATATGGAAAATTTCTCAAACTCAGCTGTCTCAGCGAACTAAGCCTCAGTTTTACCAAACTGGGATTTCAATTTGCTACAATTTTGAATAAGGCATATTATTTCTACAGTCAGGGAGGGGGGTAGTGGTTGGACTCTACTGTTTCACTGATAGCATTATGTTAGTAACCCAGAGATTTGTAAAGATTGTTAAAGCAGTTTTAAATTCCCTTATTTTATAAATATATGATTTAAAGGGACGCTGTAGTTGCCAGAACCGCTATGGCATAATGTATGTATATGTCTATAGCATGTCCAGGCTTTTCACTGTAAACACTGCCTTTTCAGACTACCAGTAGAGATGTTTTCTTCCTAGTAACATCTCTTGTGGCAATCATTAAGGTGGAAACTAGTGTTGGTTCCTAGTTCAGTGCTGCACTATATGCAGCACCTAGGTTCAGTATCTCCACACTCTGCATGGAGACTCTGAACACTCCTCATAGAGAAAACTCACCTTATTTCCAGTGCCAAATAGTTCCAGTGCCAATGGCCCCGTTCCTGATCCGCCTCCTTGGCTGACAACATCAGAATTGATCATCTCAGCCAATCTAATGCTTTCACACGGGAAAAGCATTTGATTGGCTGAGAACGACAAGGAGCAGGGCCAAACACTAGCTTGACAATCAGTATCTCCTCATAGAGATGCACTGATTCAACGCATCTCTATAGGGAAAGATCAGTGTCTCCATGCAGAGCAGAAGCACCCCCAGTGGCCATCTGAGGAATGGCCACTGGAGGTGTCCCTAGATAGCAACTTAAGCACTGCCTTTGCTCTGAAAACATTGGATTGGCTGATATCATCAAAATTGATGGAGGCAAGACGAACCGTGGCAAGATCTGGTGTGGCGATGGAGAAAATGAAAAGGCAGTGTTTACAGCAAAAAGGTTGTAGGGAGTGGCTTTACTCACCAGAACAACAACATTAAGCTGTAGTTGTTTTGGTGACTATAGTGACCCTTTAACTATATTTACTGTATAAGGGCTTCATGCATAAGTGCAGACATTATTTTTACAGTTTGTTTCCATTTTAGTAAGCTGTACTGCTACTAAATGCCTTCAGGGTCCTTGCAAATACGTATAAGCTAGGTATTTGACCATTTTTATTAATCTATTTTGTCACATGTACTGCATGTGAGAAAAATTAAAAAATGTGTTTTTATCCTAGCGTTTCAGACCATGTGTGAAATATTGCAAGATAAAGGAAACTACATACTGTCTAAAGGTATTTGTTTCCCAAATATTTTTTTTTTTATAAAGGGTGAACATATAAATGAAAAACAAAAACTATTAATTTACACAATTTAAATGTTTACATTTGTCTTCAAAGCAATCTATACACACAATTGCTTTGAGTCATGTAAGCGTTGCGTGGGTTGCTATGGCAATGCTCCGCACGGCACGGAATGCACGCCATAGCGTTGCCATGGCAACCGGCGGCAGCGCTCTCATGGTTTGCAGGAGGAGCAGATATGAAGCTGAAGGAGGGTAAAATCAGAACTGCATATATATATATATAGAGAGAGAGAGAGAAAAACCTGTAATCGCTATATATATATATGCAAAGGCAGCCCAGGCCCCACAGCAGGCACCTTAAAATGTACAGGGGTGGCAAAAATCCAAAGACTGTAAAATATATCTTCAGCCCATCTTCATGGGAAATTGTTGCACAATTCTACAGTCAATGTTAATGCAGTTTACCTTTGCCACCACTAACATAGCATTGTCACATTTTGTATGGAAGCGGATTTGGGCTATACATTTTGTTAGCCAAAACAGTTACTAAATGCATTACCAAAAACATATTGAATACCTAATACTTTCCTTCTTACTACTGGAGAAGGGATGTCACATTTTCAAAAATACAAACAAGGCTGTCACTGCACGTAAAGGTCATATGCATCATGCAAAAAACATCCACTGCGAAGTTACTCCTCGTGCATGTTTATTGTGAAGATTTGTTTTTGTTAGTACAAAATAAATATTGCTATACCTGGTAACAGTTTAGTTCATAACAGTTACCTTTAATTAAGTAGTACATAGTCTCAAAGTAGTTAGCAGAAATGACTAAAGTTCCAAAAAAAGAAGCACAGACCATTTTGTGTAGCTCTGCGTCATTTAAATAAAGTACAGAGGTACCTCAGTTTACAAATGCCTCGGTTAACAAAATTTTCGGTTTACAAATGAAAATCCATTGAAAATAATGCCTCGGTTTACAAATTTTTTTTGCAATACAAAGCAAGTTTCCCCAGGATGCATTGCACCTACGAGGTTTATAGCACCGCCTCCTGCATGCTGGAGCCTGTGGGTAGCACGTGGCATCGAGTGTGGAGGTGTTGGAGTGGCTTTTGCATCGAGTTTTGGAGCCATTCTGGAATTTTTTTGCAGCGGTTTTGGTACTTTTTAAAAAAAAATTAGTGCATTTCTCAAGCAGTGGAAAGGTAGGGAGCTGAGCCATATGCCAGCTCATTTTGACTTTTTTCTGACTTCCAGAACGGATTCATTGGTTTTTAATGCATTCCTATGGGAAACCACGTTTCGTTTACAAATTTTCGCAAAAAGATATGTCACGGAGAACGCATTCAATTCGTAAACCGAGGTACCTCTGTTAATGTCTTTGGCGTCTGATAAAACTCTGACTTTTTATTTAGTTAACAAAGACTGTGTTTTCTCCTTGGTGTGATATGGTGTTCAGACCTCTCTTATCTCAAAGGACCTTTAACCCTTAAGGACAGAGCTTCAGAAGCTTGTCTTTCACTTAATGACAACAGCATTTTTTTCATTTTTTGCTGTTTGCGTTCAACTGCAATTTGCATTTTACTAATTTATTGCACCGACACATATTATATATCGTTTTTTTAAAGGACAGAAAGGGCTTTAATTTGATGTAAGACATATATAAATGCTTATTTATTATAAAAAAAAATACAGAAAAATGCAAAATAAAAATAAAAGTTTTTGTGTTTTTTTTTTACAGTTTTTGCAATAATAATGTGTGCATAATTAGTGCAGGTTAAGGAAAGTAATTAAAAATAAATTCATTTAGTTGTTCTGATTTACAGAATGTATAATGTGTCTGGGATTTTAAGTTTTTTTGATAGTTACAGATCACAAAGCAGAAGGAGTAAAATAAACTTTTAATGTGGAGCGATTTTAGAATTTGGTATGTTTGTCTTGTAAGCTTAATAGCCATAAAAGAAAACAAAATTGCCACACAAAAGTATATATTTATATAAAGTAGACATCACAGGCTATTTACCTAGGGTTGTTTTGACACTTTCTACGTAGCCATTTCACCGCCAACCTCTGCTAAATATTGGAGTAAAATTGTGTTTTTTTTTGTTTTTGGCACACAAACTTATAACTAAGAAATTCTCATGTGTATTTTGTAAAGTTGGTGTGTGCTATTCCTGTACAAAGTTTTATTTTGTGTTCAGTTACATCTGCTGATTAAAATGACACCCCCATTGTATGTCTTTGGCACTATTTTGTGAAGTTACAGTGCCATGTAGGAGGCCTGTTCTTTTCAGTATTCACAGTAGAATTTTGAGAGATGGATTTAATGAGCCTATCCTTCCATTTGGGGTATTAGTACAGTTTGACTGTTCAAAAATGCCCACAAAGGCCTACCATTTGTAAAAGTAGACACTCCAGGGTATCTAATAAGGTGCATATTGTGCCTTAACATGCCCCCATTTTTTCACCAATATATGCCAAAGTATGTGGTAAAAAATAATTTTGTGCGTTTTTTACACATGGATTGCATTTTTGCTGGGCATTTTGTATATTTCACATGTGCCACTAAGTTCAAACCCCCCAAATTATGCTCAGCTAAGTCTTCTGAGTAAAATGATACCCCCATTGTATGTCTTTGGCACTATTTCGTGAAGTTACAGTGCCATATAGGAGACCTGTCCTTTTCAGTATTCACAGTAGAATTTTGAGAGATGGATTTAATGAGCCTATGCTTCCATTTGGGGAATTATACCAGTTTAACTGTTTAAAAAACCCCACAAAGGCCTACCATTTGTAAAAGTAGACACTCCAGGGTATCTCATAAGGTGCATATTGTGCCTTAACATGCCCCCATTTTTTCACCAATATATGCTAAAGTATGTGATAAAAAATAATTTTGTGCATTTTTTACATATGGATTGCATTTTTGCTGGGCATTTTGTATATTTCACATGTGCCACTAAGTTCAAACCTCCCAAATTATGCTCGACTAAGTCTTCTGAGTAAAAAGACACCCCCAATGAATGTCTTTGGCACTACTTCGTGAAGCTACAGTGCCATATAGGAGACCAAGTCATATCAGTTTTTACCGAACTTTGAATTTTGACGCTGGGCCTATGTGCAATTTTCAAGCATCTTAGCAAGGTTTAAATTCAAACTACCCCACAAAGGCCTACCATTTCTTAAAGTAGACACCCAAGGGTATTTCAAAAGGTATATTTTGAACCGTAGCGTGGGATCATTTTTTCGCTAGCTTGTACCAAGTGTAGTGGTAATAAGTGTTTTTTCTGCCTTTTTGACACACAATGTGAGTTTGCACAGTATATTTTCCAAACCTTATGTGTGCTACCAGTGTATAATACTTCATATGTTGCTCAGCTATGTCGTCTGAGTACAGCAATACCCCCGTATGTACCTTTGCTAGGTATATGTGGACATCGGAGGGGCACATTTGGGACACAGCCATTCCAGTTTTTTTCAAACTTTACATTTTGACGCTGTGCCCATGTCCCATTATAGAGTATTTTACCAGGCTATATAATCCAAATACCCCATAAAGCCATACCATTTCTTAAAGAAGACATCCCAGGGTATTTCAAAAGGCATATTTTGAACTTTAGCGTGGGATCATTTTTCCGCTAGCTTGTACCAAGTGTAGTGGTAATAAGTGTTTTTTCTGCCTTTTTGACACACAAAGTGAGTTTGCACAGTATATTTTGCAAACCTTATGTGTGCTATGACTGTATAATACTTTGTATGTTGCTCAGCTATGTCGTCTGAGTACAGCAATACCACTGTATGTACCTTTGCCAGGTATATGTGGATGTTGAAGGGGCGCATTTGAGACGCAGCCGTTTTTTTCTAACTTTGAAGTTTTATGCTGTGTCCATGTTCCAATTTGGAGTCGTTTAGACGGTTGGTTATTGAAACTTCCCCACAAACACAAACTATTTATTAAAGAATACACCCCAGGGTATTTCAAAAGGCACATTTTGAACCTTAGCGTGGGATCATTTTTTCTCTAGTTTGTTCCAGGTGTAGTGGTAATGAGCGTTTTTAAATGTATTTTTTTACTTTTAGAAACTTTTTTTACTTTTAAAAACTAGTTTTTAAACTTTTGTTTTGCTTATTAATTTTTTTTAAACTTTCCTAAACTTTCTTAAAACTTTTTTTACAGATTTAAAATTTTTCTAAGCTTTTTTTTACAGATTTAAAATTTTTCTAAGCTTTTTTTTACAGTTAACTCCTAATTAGCAGTAAGCAGCACTAACAGTAAATTCCCCATTTTCCCATAACTCCCACCCACCCCAGCTAGCAAAATATATAATTGTAAAATATTTTAATTAATTAATTAAATAAATTGAACCCCTGAAGGTTAAAAAATTAATAAAAGTTAATCCTCAGGGGTTAAAAAAAAATAGATCACAGTATAATACTGTGATCTGTATTTTGATCACTGTAGGCAATGATTGACTGGCAGGGAAGGGGTTAATTTTTATTTGGACTGGGTAAAGGGGGGTGTTTTTTTATTTTTTACTTAAACGTTATTACAACTTTTTTTAAGCTTAATTTTTAACTTTTTTAAGTTTATTTTAAAACTTTTTTTAACGTAATCAATTGATCACTGTAGTCAATTGTTCCCCAATTGCGGCACAGTGCCAGAGTACGGTCTGTGTACTACAGACAACACTGTTCACAACATCAGTGAACATTTGGCATCCTTGTCCTCCAACTGAGGAATCTTTGGATTGAGCTTGCTGGTCATAATAGGATTTTTTTGATCCCCCATGTTACATCCATCAAGTCTTTAGCATCTCCTGGACTTGTACTTGTTGACCTTTTTTATTTATTTATATATGTGCAGGGTTATCTCTCATTATTATTGCTGTGGTGTTTATTTTTATAGTAATTTTAGGGTTTTACACAATGTGTGTCCATTAACATTTTAGTTGACATACACTTGCTTGAGTTGTGTGCTCTTTTTTTTTGTTTGTTTGTTTTGTATCTACTTTGATTTTTTGATACATTTCTTACATTGCAACATCTATGCTGTAGTTTTACGGCATTACAATCTTAGATGCACTGTGTCCCTATGCTTGATTCTTATATGCTTGTGTTTCATTGAATCCTTTTGAGCGAGTCTCTTTTTAGTCTGTTTACTACATTTATTGTATTACTTCTGGATCAATATCAGGAGCGCTCACAATCCATTTTTCTAGTTTACCTAAATCATTTGCCATTTGCCAACATCAAACTTAAAATCTCATTTAAAAATCATTTCTCAGGATTCCTTATTTTGTATTATATCTGATTAGTTTCTCCTTTGTCTCACAAACTGTCCAATTGAGATAGCAAATCTGACATGTGTTTCCAAAATAAAGCAATAGCGACCCTATTATGATTATAGGCTGTGTTTCAAACATAATTTGATTTCAATTTGTAGTTCTATAAATTCATAGATCCATATATCAAGCCCACATAAATATCATTAAACAAACATAGCAGTCAAACCAGAATATATGGGCCATCATTCACAAAGACACATCTTCCCTCTCAAACAACAATATAGAATCTAGTATAGAATGTAAAATGCACCCCCTGCAGTACCCAGTCTTAGTAGTAGGTCCCTACTTATTACGAGAAATGAAAATGACTTACCTGATTACCAGATTTGCAGACATACGTTCTGTTTCTCCTTATGCTTCTTTTGAAGAATCCTGAACAACCATCACAAGCATACACTCCATAATGTTTACCAGAGCTGCGATCCCCACACACTTTACAAGGAATGTCCAGAATCCGACCTGTGTGCGGTAACAAAACTACAATAATTTAGACTTGGAATATTGAAAGTTAATCATACGGTATTACATTAATGTTATATGGACAGGTCAGAAATACAAGCAAATTATTATCTGATTTTATTGACTATGACTATTGATTGCCTCTTTTAGCTAATTTATTCTTGTATTTGTTGTCTATGTTGTCCATTTTTTATGTCAAATACAACAGTATATTATCAAACAGGAACAAGTAATACGAGAATAGTGAATTGAAATATTATTAGTGTTAGTACCGTAGAAACATAATAATAAAACTATATTTAGCAGTGGCATACCATCTTAACATGAATGGCTAAATATGTCACTGAGAAAACATAAAAATCAAGAATGAAACAAAATGCGTGATAAGGCCAAACAAGATAACAGAGTGGGAAAAGAACAAACAAGAAATTATAAAGAAAGGAAAGAAGTCTGTGCCCATCCTATTTTAAAGTATTACACTGGACAAAGAGACTTATACAGAGGGAAAGGATCCAACATTTGAGGGACGTTTGGCTCTCTTTATGTAGACCATGTTTCTCGAAAACCTATGTAGGTATCATTTAAAGTAGCTGTGATATGTTCGATAGCAACCAAAAAGGTAGACAATGTATTTTCCAGCATTGGGTGGCCACAAGCTTTGTGCCAATTCAGGCCTAAAAATCTATGTAAATCTAGAAGTATGCATGAGATGTTGTGAAAGGTCTCCTGTGTACATGAACTTTCCTGCAACAAATGAATATAAGAGCCTTTTCTCCTCAATATCGTGAGTACGTCGGGGTGGTGGAAAACATGGGGTAGTTTGGAATGGTTTAAATAACAGTTCTCTTTCCCAGTAGTAAAGGTAATGATTCTAAAGAAGTTCTTAAAAGTCTTGGGTCATTTTGATTCCTCAATATTTTCACCAAACTCTCTTTCCCATTGAGAAATAAAAGATGGCAGATGTCTAAATTTGAATCAAATGAAATGGGCATGATTTTCAGGATTTACAACCTGGTCTTTGGTGGACTATCTACTCAAAGATTAATCCAATGTAGCCTCATGCCCTAATGGGAGTTCAAATTGGAAACCACAAAATCTGTATTTGATTTGTTCCTTGAGTGTCAAAATAGGCATTGGTTTATTCCTTAAAGTCAACTAAATGAGTCTAAATTATAATTTAAAAGCCAGGTAGCATTTTTGAAGCTACAAAAATGCACCTATTAGTGTAATGCAAAATATAAACATAATACACAGTTTTATTTATTTTTTTCTTGGTTAATATAAATTCCAATCTTTTCACATCTTGGCTAAACCAACTATGGCCTTGTTTTAATGTTATTGGATAAGCTTTCCAAAGGATTTAATACTTTTGGCTAAAGTTTTTAAATGATTTGATATTATGAAAAAAAATTCACTTTTGTAATGTAAAATCATATTTTTCATATATTTCTGATATTTTAATATGCTGAAAAAAAGTATTTTAAAATATTTGTAAAAGTTTATCAAAAATATTAAATAATTTTGACAGCTTATTCAACAATATTAAAACAAGGATGGTATTGCAAATGTTGGTGTAGGATAAATGTATATATGATTTGGAAAATTTTAATAAAATTGCTGAGGATACTTGAAATACTGAAACTGGGGAATACTAATGTCATCCAAAGCTCATGGAAGAATGTATTGAATATACTTTAACATTACCAGAATACACTAAACATATACCCATATGAAGCAAGTTTAATATGTTTAAATGAAAGTAAATGTGACTTAGCAGATCCAATTTGTCAAGAAAATTGTTTTTTAAATAAATGTCAGATGACTCAAAAGCATCATTCATAAATACAAGAAGACAATTGGAAAATTACATATAAATTGCCTAAAACCCATATAGTTTTAGGTGTATTAATTCCACAATATTAAAGTTAGAAAATATTGGTCAAATATATGAACCAGTTATTTTAATTATTGAAATTAGAAGTTGGGATAAGACAATAGTTATTTATATTGGTTTTCTTATATCAAGGAAATATGATGCTATATATTTGTAGGACAGTATCACAAAAACCTTACAAATACCATACAGAAGGTAACACAAGATAAATACATTGGATAAGTTAAGGTTCATATTAGAAAGGATTAGAGTTAATATTCACAAATATGTTTTCAACAAGAATATAATTAGTAAGAATTAAGTTTTTTGGTTTTGGTTTCAATTTAAGTTTCTAGCAATTATGCAAAGCAGCAATACTGTACAGAGCAAATATCTGGTGCACATATCAAAAACAAGCTGAATAAGAAATTTAACAAATGGCTACCTTTTTGTTAAAACATTTTTTTAACGTGCAAAATAATAAGATTGAATCCAATTCAAGAAGAAATTATTGTAAATCTCCACAATTGTCATAAAGATAGCAACAAACAACATAAATTACTAATGCTCAGGAAGTGGAAGGAAGGGGAGAACAAATGTGTTGTATTGGTTATGGTACCAGTATTGCTGTGGGGCCCTCCCAGAGTAATCTGTCAAACCATTTCTGCATGATTTGACACTTACCTGGGTCCTGTTGGCTGCCCAAGCCACATCCAGTCCTCTCAGAGCTGGAGAAGATGAATGCCAATGTAGGCATTACTCAGTGGCTAAGTGTTTCAGGTGAGCACTGTTCACCAATAAAGGACTTGAATGAGAAAACATATTGGTCAAACTGATATCCAGCTGATCCTGCTCTGAGAAGACCAATAGTTGTTGGGGTGCCTAGCAGGATCCATATATAAATGGATCGGGAGCCATCTCTATAGCAACCCATTTGGGTGGATTCACTGAGCTGTGTAATTGTGGTACCTCTGCTAGCTGTGCTGCATCAAAGTAAGAGTAAATTTGAGGAGTAACCGATCGTCCTATCTGTCTAGTTATATAGATTAGAGAATGTGAACTCTGAGATTAAATGATAGATGTGATATGATGAAACTAACAGTAGATTTGTGCACAGTAAAAAATTTAGTTTGTCTGATTTGATTCATCCCCAAAAACTAATTTGTTTCAGGCAAAACTGAATTTGTCCATGTAAGTGTTTTGGTTCAGACAAATTTAATCTATGTGATTGTTTCTGGAAAAATTATGCAAAAATGCACATATTATTATACTGCAAAATATATACATAATATAAATTTTTATTTTTATCTTTGGTTGAAATATATTCCAATATTTTCACAATCTTGGCTAAACAAACTAATATTGTTGAATAAGTCTTCCAAATTAAGTGTTAAACCATGCTAAAACTAACATCTTACTCTGGGATACATCCAGAGCACCATTGCTACTAGAATCATAGTGAGTTGTAGTATACTATTCTATCCATTCTATTAATAGCCTCCCAAGTAATAGTCTATCATTTTGTCTATAGAAAACCACAAGGTTTAACATCTCCTCCCTACGGAGCATATATTTGGTACAAAAGCCTGTCCCTACAGAATTTCTTTGGTTCTTACGTCAATGCTAGCGCTAGCAATTTATGGTGTATAAACATATCAAATGTTCCCAAAATTATGACATAGTGACAAGCTACAGGAACCAGGGAGGGACACCAGTTGGAAAACAGTAACCGTTAAGATAAATTGAAATTTCCACAGTAAAATTGGTCTGACTCTGTATACATATACATATCTGTATACATATCTTTCAAATGATGCTCTCACGGAAAGAAGGCTGGATGAAGAAGTCTCTGTTCTGGGTTGACTCCAAACCATGGATTCAAGATTTTATATATGCTGGTGGTACATCCATCTTAAGTAGTGACTATTATTTTTTCCATGGTGAAATAATGTGTGATTTTATGTAGTACTTAGGAGTATGTGGGGGATAGGAGTCAACATGAGTATTTTGTACTGGACAGATTATGCCGAACAAACACACTTACATTCAGTAATGTGAGAAAAGTTGTTGCAAAGTTACGTTCATTTTATGAAAACATGTGATATGACTCAATATAGAAGGCTACTCTACAACAATGGATCAATGGGTTTTAACCTTTTTTGTAAGGAACCCAAATTATATAAAATGGCATTAGTTTGGTGAGACATTCCTCAACTGGAACACTAGCTCAGAGAAACTCTCATCTAGTATAATATAGGTCATAATAAACATTTTTAGCCCTAGCCCAGAGGTTAACAAACACTGCTCTACATACTGATAGAAACGAAATAGGTTTAGGGGAACATGCTTGTACTTACTAACTGGATTAATGATAGAATGTGAAGAGTGCTAAGTAGAATGCGTTGGCCTTCTCTCCTGGGAGTCAATTCTGGTGTTTATTATTAACTGTGCGGGGCGCGTTGAAACCATGTAGAGTAATGGTAGATGACACAAAATTAGAGAACGTAGTGCAATTTTAACTGGATGTTGCTTGTCTACACAAGGATTTTGATTAACCAGAGGAAAGAGCAAAATAAAATTCTACTTTCACTCTGGAGATAAGGGATAGTGAATAATTGTACACATTACAGCAGGTTTAGCAACTGTGTGTAAAGTTAGTGTATGGTGAGCAAGATTAGTAGTGTATTGCCATGTGTAAAAGGGTATTTACTCGCTTGAAGAAAATGTTACTTAGCCTCTTTATAAAGGTTCTGGTGAGTTCTCCATAAGCAGATATCATCATGAACATGGAGTGCAATGCTAGGACCAGCTTTGGAAAGTGCTACATCAGACTGTACAATGTAGGATTCTAGTTATAAAGGAAGGCTAACAGGTTAGCAATGCTTTTATACTACCAAATAAATAAATAACCCATTGAATAATATAACATTTATACAAGCAACTCTCTGTTCAAGCGATCATTAACAGAACTGTACAAAGGTTGTGAGGTCAAGAATGAGACATCAGAAAAGAGTTGATCTACAGCAGCATATGTAGTTCTTTACTATAAGCGTAATAAAGTAATTAACCGAATAGAGACTGTATTATTAAACTTAATGGATGCCTTAAAACTATGTACGGCACAATATAGTGGGTTATAACAGAAATTATGTTCATAATGAATCAAATTGTCATTCTTTCGTCAAGGGTGATTTTTTTTCCCCTTTGTGATGCCCAATTGCAAATGCTTTAAAATATTGTGCTTCTTTTTTGACTCGGCAGCAGGGGAAAGAATATTATTTCTGCCTAAATTATTTTGATACCTGGCACCAGCACCATCATTTCAGATCTCAGGAGCAATTTTCTGGGAATGTTTTCAAATAGGAGTGTTGTGTGTGTGATCAGTTGGAACTGAACAAATTTGATCTATGAGCATCATTTCTGAAATATAAACCCTTTATTTCAGGGAGTAAATGTTCCAGGTATTTCTTTGGGGGGAAGAAAAAGATAAGCTGCAATTTAAAAGTGCCATCAGAAAAAAGAAACTCACTTTTTATGATTAATTTGTTGGTACACTACCAGGGTTATTCACCAAAGTGTGAATTTCAAATGTATGGTCAAAATAAAAAGTTGGAAATATTCTCTGTCAGCTATGCTTTCAATTTATCTACTCTGGCTTTAATTTTTGAATTCTCTTTTAACTCTCACTTTAGTAAATATCCCTGTATGTTTGTGCATCGCATAGTATTTCCAAAGACCATAAAGCACTAAATGTAATTTAAAACTGATTCAAATAGAAAACAAAGTTTTTATTGCAAACAATATTTATCTGAATGTCATGTAGCACTCATACAACCCTGTTGTGTCTCGCAAGTTTTATGACCAATTGTTTCTAGTCTAGCATTTCTACCAATGTAATCTAATATAGGGGCCCCTTCTTGTCATATATTTCATGCAAATCTGAAATATTAGTGCAGAACAGAAATATAATTTTGTCACATATAGTAGACATAAAAAACCCAAAAAGAAACAAAATAGTGGTGAAACACCCTGCAAGTGAATATTTAAATAAGGTCCCTGGTGGCATATTTTGAATGCACCTTTTCAAAAAATGTCATCAGGATATTAAAATAATGTATTTATGGAACTATGTTTGCAATTCTTATTGTGGAAAACTACTAAAAAAAATATTGCACATACAATCCAGGCCAACATGGCCCAGCTCCGAGGGGACCTACACAGCCTCACGACCCGCATGGGCGCTATAGAGAGCGACACCCAGAAACACGCCCAACAAACAACCCGACTTCAAACGGCTATACAAGAGCTACAAACCCAACAAAGAAAAATGGACCAAAAGCTCGCAGAGCTGGAAGATCGGAGGTGCGCACCGAACCTCAAGATTAGGGGTATTTCAGAGGAGATCCCAGAGACAGAGCTACCACACTTCCTACGGCGACTCCTCGCAGGACTGCTAACCCCAAAGCAGGCTATACAGGTGGGAGTGGAGGGGCTGTTCTGCTTTCGCAAACCAGCGACAGCACCAACACCAGCACCGAGAGATCTCTTAGTAAAGTTCCACAGCAGCAAAGATAAAATAGCTCTCATGAACACTGTCCGAAACCACTCACCATACCCCTTCGAAGGAATGCAAGTGTCGTTCTATGCAGATCTGTCCGGGAGCACCATGGCGTGGAGGAGATCACTTAAGCCCTTCACGGCGCTACTCCGATCCAACAGCCTCACACACCGATGGCGACTGCAACGCGTACTGGAGATACTACACAGCACTGCCACACATTCCGTCAGTGATCTCCGGGAACCAACAGATCTGTTACATAAGCTGGGACTACCAACCAATGCCCTGGACACAGTGCGATCGAGCACAAAATCCTCCCTACCTCACACCTGGAATCCTACAACAGCACGTCCTTTCATACCTCGGGGAGCGCGACAAGAAGAATGGGCAGCTGTCACCCCCTGAGAGGCTCCAGTTTGCCTGCAGAGACAGGCCTGAACTTGCCTCACCACTAGAGTTGTGTTTTTAAATTTTACTCTATTAGGTGTCTCTAAATTTTTCATTACTATTTTATGTTACCGTTTCTCTCTTATGTTGTTATGTTGATGTTACCCATCACTCTTAGATCCTCCTCCGTGAGGCCACACGCACAACACTACTACCCCCCCCCCCCATCACACATAGTGGGGTACTCCAAGATGAGCCACCAGACCGCCAGACCTCATTCTCACTACGTTGATCCAGCATTTGCACTCTCTAATATTACCACTCTGGAAAACCCAGAGTCCCCCCCACCAGTGGCGTACACATGACCCATTGGGCCCCGGTGCGAAAATTGATCCGTGGCCCCCCCCCACGCTTACTCGGCACAGGTCGGGGCTGCAACACATGGCGGCGGGCACCTGGTCGCAGGGGTTGCAGGGCTGCAACCCCGCGACCACGGTATGCACACACACTTAAAGGACCACTACAGACTCCCAGATCACATCAGCTCAATGAAGTGGTCTGGGTGCCAGGTCCCTCTAGTTTTAACCCTGCAGCTGAAAACATAGCAGTTTCAGAGAAACGGCTATGTTTCACTGAGGGTTAATCCAGCCTCTGGTGGCTGTCTTATTGACAGCTGCTAGAGGAGCTTCCGCGATTCTCACTGTGAAAATCACAGTGAGAAGACACTGAACGTCCATAGGAAAGCATCGACTAATGCTTTCCTATGGGCGGTTTAAATGCGCGGGCGCCTCTTGCCGCGCACGTGCATTCGGAGCTGAGAGGCGGAGGGATCCCCAGCGCCAAGGGAGTCCGGCGCTGGAGAAAGGTAAATGCTGAAGACACACACACACAATCTCACGAACAGACGCATACACACTAGCTAACAGACACACACATTTACTGACAAACACACACTCACTAACAGACATCAAACACACTCAGTAACAGACACACACAGTAACACACTCACTAGCAAACACACCCAATAACAGACACACTCACTGACAAACACACTAACACACACACACACACACACTAACACACAAACACACACTAACAGACACACAAACACACACTAACAGACACACAAACACATGCTAACAGACACACAAACACACACTAACAGACACACAAACACATACTAACAGACACACAAACACACACTAACAGACACACTAACACACACACACTAACATACACAAACACACACACTAACAGACACACAAACACACACTAACACACACACTAACAGACACACAAACACATACTAACAAACACACACAAACAAACACACACTAACACACACACACATTTTTTTTTAAATTTAATCCCCCCAGCCTCCTTACCTTTTGGAGAGCTGAGGGGATTCCCTGGGGTCCAGTGGTGCTGCGGGGCGGGCTGGCTGTCTGGGTGGCCGGTGCGCGAGGGAGCACTCTCCCCTGTGTGCTTCCTCTTCAGCTCCCTCGCGCACCGCGTAGGGATCCCGGCGCCGGAAGATGAGAGAGGAAGCACCTGCCACCCAGACAGCCAGCCCGCCCGCCACCCAGATAGCCAGCCTGCCCGCCGGGGTCAGCAGGGCAAGCCTCGGAGGGCCCTAGGGTGGCCGGCTCCTGGGCCCCCCAGCGGAAGAGGCTGGCCCTGTGGGTACATACCGGGTTGCAGGGGCGGCCGGGCCCCCTGGTGGGCAGGGCCTGGTCGCAGCCGTGACCCCTGCGACCCTGGTATGTACGCCACTGCATGTATACTACACACTACAATTTCTTATGCATACTCCTATGTTACACTAAGCTTACCTATGCATCACAAAATATAAAAATACTGTGCATATGCTCATGCCAAAGATTACCCTGTAAACCTCATGTACGCTGTTGTGACGCTTGATCTAGCAATGTATTTATCTGCACAACAAAAATAAAAAATTATTAAAAAAATGTTACGTTGTTACAAGCCCCCAAGCAACAAGGAGGGCTGGCACTGCCCAACATACAAGCCTACTATCAAATGGTTGTCTTAGCCACAGCTATACCCCATATCATAACCACTGCCAGGTCACAATGGGTTTCCCTGGAAAGAGACTTAATAGGAGGTCACGATATCACCAATATGCTCTGGACATCATAACAACTTAGACCAAGTGTTACTCTCTTTCTCCCTCAGGTCCAGCTCCTTCCAAATATAAGATAAATACCGACCCAGATTGGGTAGCACCCCTACCCTCTCCCTGGCAACCCCACTTAGGGCTCTGTCATATTCCATCCCCACTTTTAACCCATTACAATGGCATTGTAGGGGCGCAACACATCTTTACCATCTGTTCGAAGTGGGCACATTACTAGATTACCCACGCTTCTCCGCTAAATATTCACTCCCACAGTCTTCACTATATTCCTACAGTGGAAATCCTACTTAACCAAAACATCGAGACAACACCCAGACTTATCTCTTACTACCATGTCACTCACTACCTGTGAACAAATGTGTATAAATGCGAAACTTTCACCTCAATGTTAACCGATCTCCATGTGCTATAACCTAATAGCCAAACACGACAGTTTCTCCTCTTCCAAATATGCGAAACAATGAGAAGCAGACCTCCAATGCTCGATGACACCTAAAGAGTGGGATACATAATATCCAACCCGCTTAAACTACTCCTATCATCCTCCCACCTAGAACAACATTGAAAAATCCTCTACAGATTACATAAAATTTTCCCTTCCACCCCCACAATTTTTAATGTTCCCTCTAAAGCAGGGCTGCCCAAAAAGTAGATCCCCAGATGTTGTAAAACTACAACTCCCATGATGGTTTGCATGGCAAAGCATCATGGAAGGTGTAGTTTTAAACATCTGGGGATCTACCTTTTGGGCACCTCTGTGCTAAAGGATAATATCAGTGTAACAGTAATAGAAAACTGCTATAATTATCAGACAATCCATGGTCCCTCAAACAAATCTAACAGGAGTATTGAGCATGCATATTAGTAGCGGTGATTATGCTCACATGTTGCCTATGACATCACAATATACAAACATCAATAAGTGAAATGATATAAAAACAAAATACTGCTCCAGTTTGCTGCTGTCCTGTGAAGTGTCATCCTAATACATCCTCAATGTAAATCAAATGCAAATAGCAGGTAGGTACATGTGAGGGAAAATATGAAGAAGACACCGTAGTGTAATTCAAATATTATACTACGATGTGTTCTTAGTTATCTTCTCTCAAATGCACCTTATATTTCCATCTGTGATATCACATGCATGTGCACATAGTGTACATAACACCGTAGTAGCATCATTGAGGTATATGCAGCATACCTCGAGCACTTACATTTAGTTTAGCTTAAGGTGGGGCTAAAAGTGGTAAGACCTACAGAATGTTTTGTTTTTGATAAGGCTTCTAGCATACAAATTAAGCAAGATGAGTTAGATTACTTTAAGCTTTATTATAAATGTATGATTTTCAGGAACTTTAAGAGTATTTTAAGAAACTGACACCCTTGTCTTCAGTGATGGTACTCACAACTATTCATAATTATTGTTGGAGGTGCAACCCCCACCTTAATTAACACAGAATCATTTCTTGAAAACGAATTGTTTTACTTTTATTCTGGTATGTATTGCCTCTCATAAAGACCATTAAGGACAAAATGTCACCTGCTTAACCTTTAGTTGCACAGTAAAGGCTCACATTGGAAAATACAAGGTGTTCTTGAACGTTTCAGGAAACGTTGGAGCACAGTAGAAAAATGGACTAGTGCACCCGCATTGAATTACATGGAGTATTTGTCATCATGTCTAAATAAGTAGTTCAGTTGCATCAGTTTTCAGTTGTAAAATTGGCACTGTGACAGTTCTTGAATTGCAATAGACCATGTAACAAAATAATTATTCAACAAAATTCTTTTAATAGACTCTTCTCAGTGCCTGATGGTTCCTGTAGTTTTTTTATACGTCAGTGGTGCTTCAGTAATCAAACTTTTGTGGGCAGTTTATATTTTGAATATGTTATGTCTGTGCCAATGAGGATCCATTGAACAGGTGCTAATGAACAGGTTAGCATATCGTGGTTTGTACTGACCCTATATATTTGCATAGTGGTCTCATATCTCCTCTGGTTCTACTAACGTCAATTTTTTCAATTTATTTTTATAAACTCGTACTAATTACTGTATTCTTTAAATCCTTACTGTAGGTGGAGTTGAGTAATTTGTTGATATTACATGGATTACCCTTTGATGTAAATAACTAAATTAATTACTATATATATTTTATTGTTAATACTTTGTTTTATATATATATATATATATATATGTTAAGCATGCCATCTTCCATATTTTTAGCTTAATTAATATTTAAACTTTTTATTTTTTTACATTCTTTATTTATGTTACACAAATAGAGTATATCCGTTCAAAATGACTATTTTGACTATTACTGTTTATAAGCGATTGCGCACATGTCCGAATGGTGCGCCCCAGTGCACCTATATGGCATGTGCGAACGAAGTCGCGAATGACACGAAATCAGCAATCCACTGACCTTGCATATTCTGGAGCTCCTTTATAACGTGACTCCATCCAGATAAAGCCACGGGTATTTCAAACCTGGCCTTTCTCCTCCCAATTGCCCTGTTGTGTTTCTTGTTTAGCCCAGTAGTGTGTTCGTGATATCTCTCATCTCCAGTTACTGACCTTGGCTTGTTTACCATTTATTCTGTTCTCTGTATTCCTGATATTTGGCTTGTCTAAAGTTTACTCTAATTTACTCTAATTTCTCCTACCCTTGACCTTGACCATTCATACATTACGCACTGCCATTCTATGGTCTGGTAATATGGATAATATATTCTGTTGTAGATTAGGTTCTGTGTGTTTGGGTTCTCTTACATATACTGTGACAGCAGTAAGCTGAGCATGATGGCCTACTGGCCTACCATTTCATGCTGGTTGGATGTTGGTCCCTGCTCCTCCATTATTATGACCACTGGCAGATTACCGAGAGCCTATAGCCTACTCACTGTGTCATTCAGCTACATCATCTAATGCTCCATACAGGAACAGGGAGATGACATAAATGTAATGTAAATAATATATCTATAAAGTAAAACATTTTAATAGATAAGAACAGTTTTTAAGAAAAAAAAATGTTGTTGTTTTTTTTAGAAAAAAAGACAATATTAGCATAGTACTCAACACAAGTAGTGTTAAAAAAAACTGACAAAACTCTAATATATATGTAAAAGTTTTGGAATTTGCCAGGAATGGACTTTGTTGGTGAAAGAGTGAGGAACCTACAGTTTAATGAAAAGTGAATTTGCAAGTCAAGAGGAAACCAATAACTTTACCGGTTTAAATCACAGCTGTATTCTGATTGGCTGCATAATTATTTCTGCCAACCAGAATAAAGCAATTTCATAACATAGTCAGGGAGCTGACAGTCTACAGACCCAAGTAAAGCCCCAGCATGTCCAAACTAAAATAATGGCAAAACTATCACCTGACAAACATCTCTGAGCAAAAAAAACTATATATCACTCCCACCCTATTTGATTGCTATTTCCTGTCCTAACGTGTCTTATACCCCACCTCCTACAGACTGTAAGCTCGTTTGAGCAGGGTCCTCTTCAACCTATTGTTCCTGTAAGTTTTCTTGTAAATGTCCTATTTATATTTATAGTTACATCTCCCCTCTCATAATATTGTAAAGCGCTAGGAAATCTGTTGGCGCTATATAAATGACAATAATAATAATAATAATAATATATATATATATATACACTATTCACAGGTGCTTAAAACATACAAAATTATAAAAGTTCTGCAAAAGTCTCCCACAAGTTAATCCCTTTACTCAAAATGAACCCTTCATAAAACAAAAACAAAAAAAACACTGAGTGTGAATATTCACAATTGTTTTTATAGTGTGCATGTTCTACTAAATATCTCTGAAAATCTTCAAATTTTGTAGGATGGAAGGAAGGATGGATGGATAGATGGACAGACAGGCAGACAGACAGACAGATAATCCTTTTTAAGCTACTTTTTTCTTAATCAATGTGTATTTTATAAAACAAAACAATTAGAACCAAAATACTGGAGGCTTGTTTGATTATAATACATATTTTCGTGTCAGTTCTGTTTCCCTTTAATATAATGGTAATATGTTGCATGTCATCATATTGGATTCATGCAGTTTTTGCATTCAGATTTTATGAAGTGTTGAATCAGAAATAAAACATTGAGATTTTTCACAGCTGCATGCATATCCAGTCTATTTCATTCACAGCACTGTGATCTGGGCTTTAATATCTAATAATTCATATTACTTCATATTAATAGCATATGTCTAGGACCACAAAAAGAGTTGATAACTATTTTGTGGATTTCACATCTATTTATTTCATAAAACTGTATATTCCACTAGATTGTAGAACTGTCACAATAACTCTATAATGTGTAAGATACAATTTCCAGACAATGCCTTTGCTATTTCCATTTTTTCAGCTATAAAACAAGATTTAAATTATTATTTTCTTTATAATTTGCACAATAATATATGCAAATTAAGGGTCAAAATAAATACTGAAACTGACTCATGAATAAGTCAAATGCACTACAGAATATTATTACAGCTCTCAAGAGATGTGTATTGAATAATGGCCGATCACCTATCTACATTGTCATTAAAAACATATAATCATTTTATCATCAGATGTATATTTTGCAGATCTTACGAAAAGATTGCATTTCAAACAAGTAAAAAAAAAAACAACCTTTCACATAAGTATGTTAACCCTTTATGGCAATGAGGGTTAAATCCTAAAAGGCACAGTCCAGGAGCCTATTCATTGATCAGTTAGTTGTGGTTAGCTGATTAGAGAATTTCCGAAATAACCACAAAAAAAATTACTCGTAAAAAAATAAATAAAAAAAAATAAAAAAATTACCCTACCTTTTGCAATTGTATTTTGTGACCCGAACAATTTTCTGTAAAGCTAATAGGTCCTCAGTCAGTGTAAGATATATTAATTTACTGTCAATATGTTTGCATTCTTGGCACATTATATATTTTTTACAGTTGTAATAATGATTATTAACCGTTTAACTATTGCAGCAGATGTCTATGAATTTCTGTATAATGTGACAAAAAAAAGTTATTGCACAATCAGTGTTTGCTATTCTATGGCAGTTCACTTTTGTTTTATGTCCTATAAATATAAACATCATGTACCATAACTACTTACACTGTCTGTGCAAAATCTGACACTATATAGATCTGAAGTCCCATCAAGCTTTGACTGTCGGATATATACTTACTGTCACTAACAGCAAATTAAATGCAAATGTTTTCTGTCCTTACTCAGCAATGATCACAGCGCAAGAATAAAGAAAGAAAAGAATAGATAGATAGATAGATAGATAGATAGAGAGAGAGATGACTTTATATTTCAAACAATATATATATAATTTACTGGAAGAAAAGTCTGTTTGTTGCATTTAAACTATGAAATGTCAATACGTTCTGTAAAAAAAAAGACAATATTTAAATATTTCCATTTTAGCTGGGTTTAATTTCTAACTCTTTTTATTATAGATTTTGAAAATCTATGGTCAAAATTTAGTTTAAAAAAAAAAACTTTGAAGAAAATAAAATTCCCATTCTGAATTTTTATTTTTATTTTTGCTTTTTTTTCTTAAATTTTGCAAGTTACTTTTTGTTATCAGAGTTTAGTGAATACACCTTAGGTTTTAACGGTCTGGTTTAAATTTGCTGTTGAGCAGTTCAACGTGCTATGAAAAGCACTTGATTTTATTATATTTTATTTAACATATATTATCATAGTTTATGCAGCCTACTTCAAGCTATAGATCACTAAATTAACCTGGGTGTAGATTTTGTGCCCCTCTCCAAAAATTAACTAATCACAGAGAATTGTCCTTTCCTGCATCAAACAAAAGTGATAATGAAACAGCAAAATAATATGTCATCATCAAAAGTGTGTGTGTGATTTTTTATCTGAGCTGTCACCTAACTCCTATACACTATACACTCATTAAATAAAATATAGATTATATATATATAACATCACGTTATAAGACTTGGGGACGACTGTAGTTGCGTTAGATACCCTTTCATATTTTACTCGATGTCATAATCACAATAATTGTGTACAAGCTAATTAAAGTATTATTTTTTTTTAAATTAAGATATGGATAATAGATAGCCCACGACTTTAATTAAAAGGTGGAAACTCTCCTATCATTAGCAAAAACAATCCACTTTCTGATTGACAAAGTTACAGGCTCTTCTTTAAAGATAGTCGATCCCACCAATTTAAAGAGGTTATGTATTCTGGAGCAAAATTCTAAAGCTGGAGCAGTCACCATGGGAACCAATAGAATGTCCAGGCTGAGTGTTCCACTTTTAGAATGTTGCCCCAGAATGATTTTATACACAACTCCTTATGTGTATCATGTCACTATCCTTGTGATATAATGGGGCAATCTAAGACAATGTCCAATACTTTAGTTATTAAACATATTATTTTCTGCAATTGTTTAATAATAAGTTTAAATTGTTTTTAATATTATAGACTTATAAATAAATCCCTAAATATTCACTGGGCTAACATAGGGAAAGGTGACCTATTTTGCAGAATCTGTTTTAATTACATGAACTCCATTGAGATGATCCCAGTGAAGTATTGAGGGGTAAAGGTGATTTAGGAGGCAGTGAAGGGTGATTGAGGGCTGTATTAGAAGCAAGCATCATCCCAGGGAAGCTTGGACTGAAAACAGACCTTAGATATTTCTCTACAGCAGGGACTCTAAGACAATGTCCAAGAACAGACAACAGGGACATTAGATAAAGTGTTAACTTAATGATTTTCCCATTGAAACTGGTTTGACTGCCTCCAATAAGCCAAGCTGCCACTTCTCTTAACTAAATGGAACTCGACAGCTGCTATATACAACAGGACTGGGGAGAGAGGGATTAAGCCTGGGTGGGGGTGAAGGGGGCTGTGAAGTTACTTGATAGAAATCTTCCATACAATTATCTCCAGCAGTAAAGTCTCTTAGTAAAACTTTATCTGGATAGAACATGTTGGTGTGGTTGCAGGTAGCAAGTTTTCCCCAAAGGTTGTGTATAGAAAAAACAAAAAAAAATACAAAACAAAACAAAAATAAAAAATCCCAAACCTGTTTTATTTGCTTCTTATGAATGTGTAATTACAAGCCCTTTCTGCCACCTACCTATTGATTTACCAGTGACCCGTCAAAAAGAGTAGCATGGGAATTCTGCTATCACACAATGCCAACAGGGAGGGCACTCAACCCCCCTGTCCCCTCCTGCAGGCTTAGCTTCAACTCATACAAACGCCTCCTCCCTGCACCCAGAATGGCTCTGCAGCCCTGCACCCTTATGGCATCCACTGTACATAGTGCTGTCACCGCAATGACGTCATAACTCCCACATTACATCAAAACTGCACATATATAACAATATATATATATTATACTGCTAAGCATCACCTACCCACATCAACATATCAAAGGAGATTTGTACATGATGCCCAATATTACATTTGGGGATCAGTAGGTGTTTTAATTGCATCATATTTTATAATCTAACAATATATAATGAGTATAAATACACCATGTACACACACAGAAGTGTGATTCTTAGGACACATTGCTCAGTCTGACACACAATACAATAATTAATGTATATCATTATTCTGATGTAAGTTAACAAACATACAGCCTATCACCCTGGGCCCAGCATAGGGTGCTGGTGGGGGCACACTGTCAGTTTGGGTTGTCTGATAAATAAATAACATACCTCATACCATGAGACCTGACAGGGCTTATTGGGGTCAATATTTTGGTTAGAACAATGGAAAATGCTGGGAGCAATGTTAACATGACATAGGGTCATGGGGAGAACAGATTAATTAGGGTTGGAGGGTCCCTGTGTTTGGGCAGCCTGGTCTGACAGTACAGCCAGAGAAAGCAGATTTTTATTGAACTGGGGAACCGTTTTTAACATCTCTCAGCAGGGGTGCTTTGGGACGTTTTGTGTGTTATAATTGCTTAAAGATATATGGCAGCTTAGATTACTGTAATTACCATCAGGGGCTGTTGAAAGAAGTTAGTCTGGATTTGAGAGATTGCTCCCTGAGTTCTTACTACCACCCAGGCAGAGATCAGACCACATAACTATACAGTGAGAAGCCCAGCACTGGTGGCCTCGAAGTCACAGGTCACATCCTGTACTCCCATCAGCAGGTCATGTATGTAGATGGGACATTGACTAACTAATATGAACTCCCAGCCAGACTGCACAGTACAAGACCCCCCTCCCACTGCATTAGACCAGAAGAAGTCAAATACTGTGGGGATGGAATTCTTTTCAATATTCTAATATTTATTTTAACTTGTTAGATTTCATAGGAGCAAAGCATTATGAAAAGTATAAAATATAAGTATTTACAAAGTATAACTTTATATACGTTCCAGTAAATTAAATATAAAATATAATATATATATATACATTTTATATTTATAAAAAAAATTCGAAATACATCATATATAATTATTTATTTCTCATAATGTTCCCATGCTAGATATATTGACAGAGTTGTTCTTCTATTTACTTAGTTTAATTAAACTGTAATGTAGTATTAATTTATTATCTGTTTCTAACCTATCTGCCTATTTATTATCGTTTATTAAGTTGCACCAATATCTTAAGATATTACACAGTTATATATATTTAAGAGTTCTCTTTAGCTGTCAAAATAATGCTCTCAATGGAGCATCACTTGCAAAGAATTTAAATACACCGCATTCATTGAAACTTTCATGTGCATAGCCTAAACGTGTTCAAGTTTAGATTTTATTGAAATAAAATATATGAATAAGCAGAAAGTGTTCTTGTTAATCAATTATTTCAAAGGCATTCAATATATCGACGATCGAATATTAAACCTGTTATATTATTTATTGTAACGTACAAAGTTAGAAAGGGATATAAATGTATCAGTCAATAACCGTATTGATTAATATATATATTGCCTGCATTTTAACTGCGTGTGGATTGTGCATTTAATAGCTTTTTTATATTTTTAAATTTCATTTGAGATGTCTTGTTATTAAATTAATTTTGAACTCGATTTATTGTAATATAGATAAATAGACAGATAGATATTTAATATCCATTGTCTCAGTCAACAAGGTTTATATATACATATATTGATCTGTTCGTTTGTTGTTCGTTTGTTGTGTGTTTGTTTGTTTTAAAGGTTTTTCTGTGTGTGTGTTTTGTTTTTTTAAAACCGAACTTCAAAATTTAGATTTAAAAAAAACCCAACAAAACAACAAGTTGTAGAAATTGCTGAAGAACGATCCCAACACGAGTATTTAGGCCTATATCGTGCAGATTCCAATCTCTATTTACATGAGTGTCGCTGTTTAGTGAATAGCTCCCCAGATAAACTTTGCATGGGCTTATCAGCAACTTCTGCAATAAACAATTAGCTATACTGAGAATTTCCAGTATTAAAGGATTCGGGATTAAAGAAAATGTGACTTTTAAGTTGTTTTTGCTTCGCTTGTTTCCAGGCTTATTAACCATAATTAGAGATGCTATGTGCAATAGGTTGGATTTAAATCCGCTTTGCAGCAGTGGATTAGAACAGAGTTGCCTGATTCTAATAAACTGGTAGCAAACTTTTTTTTTTCTTTTTCTTTTTTTTTTTACATTATCACTATTAAATTGCAAACTACAATATTTCCTATGTTTCAAATCTCCCCAATCACACTACTTTGCATTGTATCAGGTGAATAGTAAATGTATTTAATCATTAGAAAGTGACAAGTTAAATTTCCATGTTAAACAAGTTTGTCAGTGAGAAAAGTTTTTTTTTTTTTTAAATAAAAACTTGTTTTCAATGTAAATCATGTCAAGAACAAGATCCATTAAAAAATAACACATTACTTAGTGTACTTGGCAATGTTATACTACTATTTTAGGCACTATTAGCTGAGCGATCTTATCTCACAGATTATGTACCTACCTACTGCTAGAGTACACTATTAATGGTACCCGTGTAAAACTGTACACGGTGTGTAATAAGATTAGTAAATACATAAAGCCACAAAGGCAATTAAAAATGTAACAAATAAATAAATAAAATAATATTTTGCATTATATATATATATAATATATATATTGCAAATTATAGATAGTTTATGTATACATATATATATTTACTGTATAATATACAATAGATTTTATTATAATATATAAGATAATATATTATATTATAATATTATATATATATATATATATATATATATATATACATACATACATACATATATATTATATAATATATATAATATATTATCTCTCCAATTGTAAATTTAGTATAGGTCATGAACTATTTGTAAGTATAATAAAATCTCCAAGGAAGAAGCTACCCACTTGTTGATCCTGCTGGTTTACTCATCCTGGTGGATTTTCTGTGTCTCTTGCGATGCTCCAGAGAAAGTCCTGTAACAGGTGCAGTACAGAGAGCTACAGCTCAGCCCTCACTTGACAAGTCAGCATCCTTGAAGATGGGATTCGATATTAAGTAACAAGCGATCTGGTGCTGCAGCGAGTCTGAATCTGCATAGAACGTTCACTCCATCAAACTATCTCCAGCAGAAGAACAGCACGGACAAGAACAAACAGCAACAAAAAGTTGACGTGCTTATTGGAGCTATTAAAATGCAGTTGTTGGTTGTGTTCTGTGACAATAGCTATTGAAGTCAAGAAGTAGTCTTTATTTCCTGGGGCAGTATTGCTAGTGCCTAAGTAGGCTTAGAGAAGTTGACTGCATGAGGAGGAGGTGCAAAATGAAGTTCAGATTAAGCAGTGCCTGGCTCTCTGCAGGGTGGATCACACACGGTTTGCAAGCCAGAAGTTCATTGCATTGAGTGACTTTGTGCTTTGAGCTGCAGGCTCCAGCCCTTAGAATAAAACCAGGGTAGGAGCTAAAGGACTGAGCACCAGGGAGGAGAGGAGGGCTCCCAGCCATTGCCCAGTGAGCTTCCCCCCTGCTCTTCCCAAAGTGCTGGAGGAACCTGACGTCATCACTGCCAGGGGAGGTGTGTGCAGTGAGGGAGGAGGGAGGTGATATTAAAGAATCTCTTAGACTCAGAGGAAAGCCCGGCAATGATCATACAGGGTCGCTATATCTGTATCATGGCAGAACGTTAGTCACAATGTATCCTATCAGGTTGGGGTGTTAACCCTTTTAGTGCCGTGTGCGTGCTCCAGGTGTTGGGACTCACCTCTTCTCTGCCTATACACCTTGTGCTAGGATGGGGGCTGGTCTGGGGCTGGCTGCTAGGTTCTGGACCACCAGGTATGTCTGTCTATCACTACTTGGCCATTTGGGGAATTTTCAAAGAATTCCTAATCTACCATTTTATGACAAACCGGTCTACCTGTCTATGTATCGTTTTTGGAGAAACTAGTGACCGAGTCCAAATGCTCAGGAAAGTTTTAATTTCTAGGTCCCATTTACAAACCCAGGCCACACTACCTGCCTCTATTTAGTAGGGCAAATCAAATAAATATATATATTATAAATGTAAATATTTCTATATAAATTGTCTGTCTGTCTGTCTGTCTATCCATCTATCTATCTATCTATCTATCTATCTATCTATCCTCAGTTTACAAACTTCCAGTGCACAGAATCGGTAAGTGTATGTATAATGTCTCACTATATGATATAATAATGATGGATATTCTGAATTTAAGACTCTTAGCTCAAGTAATTGAACGTAACTGAATCCATATGTTAATAGACTAGCTAATTGACAGATGTCACTGCTTGCTGAATTGACAGTTTGTGTGAGGCATGTACAACATATTGGGATTTTAAGGCTTAACCCAGAGGACCACTCAGACATCAAGTAGGTGCACTCTGCACAGTGCTGAGCAACAATCGGTCATACAAATCGCCATGTGAGTTATTAAACCGCATCTCCCATGACTACTAGAGTTATACACTAACTTGGGGCCACATCAACCATGTTTAATGTGGTATTAGTGACCTGGGGCAGGTAGGTAACATTAACTTAGGTAAACAGGTCAAGGTGTACCCCTAAACACAGGGATTCTGGCATTTACAACAGTGTAGATTTAAGGGACCTGGAAGGATCTCACTCATTAATCAATGTGAATAGTGTGTTGAGAGCAGACAGGTAGTAAAGTAAGGCCAAAATTATTGAGCATGAAGAAAAATTATCTACCTGGTTAACTGACTCTTTTTGGTTTCTATTTGCCAATTCAGATATTTACTCACAGCCACTAACTAGTTAATGAATGAGCCCCAAAAAGGAAAAAAAATATAGAAAACAGGGTGAAAAACAATCTGACCCCTCAAATAATATGACAATTGCAAGAAGAGAATTTACCATGTATACAAGTCTTTCATTTGTGTAATACAGAAAGTACTTGAATAATATAGTGAAATGTATCTAATTTTCAAGTATGCCCTTGTAGTACAGATACAATGTTACCATATTAACACATTCACTGTAGGAGATATACAAAGCAAGCAGTATTGCCAAAAGGGAGGGTAGGCAGATTACAACCCAACCTTTCGACATCTTGTTTTCCTCAGTGAGTTTTTGAATGAATTTAATCTGGCTGCAGAAGTTCATGGAAAAGATGGGTGTGTGGGGTGAGGGGGGCAAAAAGTAATCTGCACAGGCATCTAAGTTTTTACTACCTGTTAGAGAAGAACGACATTGACCCTTTCCTTGCCAGTGTTACAATGATTAGAGCTAGACTCGTCTCCTTTTTTGAAGAAAAAAAAAAATTTCAGTAATAAAAGGGTAAAGCTTGATCACATTATTGTAGAGGCTACAAGATATTGATAGCCTTCCCGTATGTGCTACATTTGTTTAGTGACTAGCTGCACCTCATCTTCAATACAACCATAAGCACTTAGCCACACTAAGCCCTTCTCACTTGGTGGGAGTATGTCACAAGAGCATAAATTGCATAAATTGGGATTTTATTAAAGACACGGAGGCTCATATTATGCATAACTCTTTCTTTATTTCCTCAGCAGCAAAGATAGAGGAATATAAATATATCAAAAATGAAAGAAAAAAACTGTATAGATACACAGGCAACCAATCACATAACAGAGGAAGTGACTATATAAAGCCTGTGTCTCCCACAATCCCCCTCTTTCTTTGCTGCTTCCTCAGACAGCTAAGTACCTTGCTTGATCCACTGTATTTTATTTGGTGTACTTTGCATTTACTTGGTGTTATGCTGTACTGATGTTGTACTTTTATTATGGTTATGTGATATTTTTGCACTGTGCTTATTCTCACTTCTTTTGAGTGTGTGATATCCTACTCTGTTTTTCTTCTGTCAGCTGCCTGCTTGGTGCAGCTCCTATCCTGTCCCCTGCGCTGGTGCCTCCCTCCTCTCACCCCGCCCGCCGCGACCGCTCTGTCGGCCGGCGGGTGCTATTCAGTCCCAGGTCGGCTTTCAGCCGCGGCTCTCTCTGATACTGCCGCGGCTGTGCTCTGTTTCCCTTGATCGCGGGCTGCCCGCGCGGGTGGGGTGCGCGCGCCCCTTCCCCCGCCGGGGTCCTGACCGCGATCAATCTCCTGCACGTGCGGCGGCCATTTTGGGCGGTCCGTCGGCTGATCGGTCGCTCACTCTGCTGCTGCCGTGCGGCCTGTCTCCCCAGTCTGGGTCCCCTGAGTGCACCAGCGGGCAGGTTTCTTACTGTGTTCCTCTGTGGGTTACTCAACCCTTTTACCATCTAGTTTAGTTTATTCTAGCTACCTTCCGTTTTTGCTTATCTATATATTTCGATTTCTTAAAGTCATATTACTACAGTTTTAACTTGATTCACTTAAAGGTGTATTCCCCTGTGGTTTCACCATGCAGGATAAGGAGGATGGGCCTGTTGGCACCCCTAGTGATTTTAATATTGATAACCCTGAGGGTGCCATGGCCTCCCAAGAATTTCAGGCCCTGTTGGATGCCACTATGGCTTCTTATTACAAAAGGCTTTTGCTTCAGCCATGGGTGCTGTTTCTTCCTCCTTTTCTCAGTCCCTGCATTCCATGCTTATGCCCTCACTGCCTACCCCTACCCTCCAGGGTACTGGGTCCCCTTCCTCCGCCCAGACTGTGCCTGGTACCCGTAAGGTGAAGGCGAAGTCTAAGCACGTTGATTCCCACTCCTCGATGCAGGTGCTACCTGCCATGACTGACACACTGGATGTGGTCACAGACAGCGCGCACCCCACGCGCAAAAGAGCCCCTGGCCGGGCTAAAAAGGCTAGATTGTGGAAAAGGGCTAGAGCCCTAGATGATGAGTCGGATACCGACCGGAGTGTGGAACGTGACTCTGATATTATGGAGTATGACTCCTACGATGAGGGCGGGTCGGACGAGGAATTGCCCTCCGCGGAGCTTGCCCCCTCTGGGTCCTCTGCCGTTGCCCTAGGCCAAGTTAAGATCCCCCCTGGGGACAGTAAGGCCATTTTAGACCCCCAGGGAAACCCACTGTTCGACCCTGACGACCTGCGTCACCCACGGTCAGCAGAGTGGGTCCCCCCGGACCATATTGCGCAATATGTGGCTAAACGCCTGCGCACACCCCTCTCCAAGGAGGGTCGCAACAAGTTGCGTGCCGAATGCCCTAGGCCCTCTCTCCCGGGCTCGGCCTGTAAGACTCCGGATATTGACCCCCAAATCGCCCAGTTTCTGAATAAATCAGGCTGGAAGCCCAAGAAGGGTTTGGATTACTCCCTCAAGGGATGCCAAGATAAGATATTGGATACCCTGGGCCCTCTGTCTAAGCTGTACGAGCTGCTAGATGCCGCTAGGGCTGGAGACTCGGTTATGGATGTCGATGTGGCCATTGGATGGGTCCAGAGGGCGATCTGCCTCTTGGGGAATGCAAATACCGCCATGTCTTCTGAGAGGCGTAAGGCGATTCTCCTTAAAATCGATCCCAAATTGGCTGCCATGACGGCGGAACCTGACCCCTCTGACGAGGGTTTACTGTTTGGAACCTCTTTCGTGAAGGACCTTGGTTCCTATGTAAAGACCTTTACGGCCATTGACAAGGCCCAGGCGAATATGAAGCGCATGTTTGCGCCCAAGGTTTTCGGAGGGGCCGGGCGTAGCAGGAACCGTCCACCCGGCCGGGGCTTCCGTGGCTCGTTCAGGGCCTCCAGAGGTTCCTTCTTTCCTTCCCGAGGATTTCAAGATACGAGGTCGCCTCCTTTCTTCCCAGCCAGAGGGAGATCCTGGGGCTCCAGGTATCCCCGTGGTGCCGCTTCGGGCAGACGCCCTTATGGTGAGTACCCATTTTTCCCCTCTCGATCATGTACGGGTGGCAGGGAGGCTTGCCTTATTCTACCATGGGTGGACAAATATAACCTCAGATGCTTGGGTTCTGCAATGTGTAAAGGGTTATCACCTGGAGTTCGTTTCTATGCCTGTCCAGGTTCGCGTCCCCAGAGAGTTGTCCCTCCCACAGGATCAGGACGACATGATTTCCAAGGAGGTAGAGGAGATGCTCACGAAAGGTGCCATAGAAGAGATGCCGCTGGCCTCTCCGGGCTTCACGAGCAATCTTTTTCTGGTGCCAAAGAAAGGGGGCGGGGTTCGTCCCGTGATAAATCTTCGTCCCCTCAACGCATTTCTCCGCTACCAACATTTCCAGATGGAGGGTATACACTGCCTCAGAGACCTCCTTCGGCAATCAGATTGGTTGGCCAAGTTGGATCTGAAGGACGCATACTTTACAGTCCCCATCGCGCTGGACTGCAGGGATTACCTCCACTTCACGTGGCACGGTCGACGCTGGCGCTTCACGTGCCTGCCGTTCGGTCTCTCGTCGGCCCCTTGGTGTTTCACCAAACTCATGAAGCCAGTAATGGCTTACCTTCGTACCCGTGGGGTGCGACTGATCGTTTACCTGGACGACATATTGATCATGTCCCAATCCAGGGAATCTCTGCTGTTACATT